ACCATCTCGCTTAAAGTTTGATTTGAAGGAATACAATAATTTTAAACAAAATAATACTTTTCTGTTGACAAGAGTCGGTTTACATAATGTTGCTGACATGGAGCAAAATATGATTTCATTACAAATTGAAAACGTTAATAATTATTATTTGAAATACAATGAGGATTTAAAGAAAAATCTATATTTTCAAGGAATGTTAATTAATTATGTGAATGTTTTACGTTCTACAGGATTAGAAGAAAAGATACCAAAAAACTGGATTACAGCAGCAAACTAAGATATCTTTGTGGCAATTTTTTTCGAATTATTGCTGTGGAATTAATCAGTTGTGTTGAATGTTGACATTTGTTAGCAAAACTTTATAATAATACACGAAGAAAAAAGAATAATTGAACTTATCGTTTGGAGTGTAAAACTGGAATAAGTTGACTTTCTTCTGTTTAGAACTTAACCTATACTAAGGAATGTAATAGCATAATATTTATATTAGTGAACATGTAATTTAATTTCACTTTAATTAGGAATTGATTTTGGCGTCAAATTCCTTTAAAATAACGAATTTTTGTTTATTTAAAAAAATTGTTGAAATTAATATATTTTTTAATAAAAACAGTGTAAGTTGTACGCGAACAACTTACTCTTAATAAATTTTGATTTGGAGTATTACAATGACAACAACATTTCTATGTAGTTTTTCACAGAAACTTTATAATAATTTGTAGCTGTAAACCACTGTTTGAAGGTAATAAAATATTTCATAAAGGATGAATGGATAAGAAAGTCATTAAAATCAATCATAAAGCAATAGCATAGTTTATTGCACTTTAAGAAGTGTAATTAAAATTACAATTATTATTTAACTGTGTTCGATGGTTTCTCTGTTCACAGGCACGTAAAATTGGTAAACAATCATTTTCTAACAAATATTTCTCTGTTCACAAACACTTTTTACAAATTCTGCACAACAAACCGTCGTCACAAATGTTTTTAATTAACTGAATTCAAAAGATTTTGTTTTCTGAAGAAATATACAATTGTTAAAATTTTTTAGATGGATGATCTACGCCAACTTATAATTGCCAATAATTTTTTCGACTTTTGGATTTCAAAAATTAGGAATGACATATATAGAGAAGGTAATAATATAATTCTTTTGATTTAATTGTAAATTATATAATTCATGTTTCATATAGTTTGCAGTAACCGAACACTGAATGGTTTAACAGATGTACCAGAAATAGTAAATATAAAAAATTCTAGTTTCTCGGTGTAATCCAATTTTTTGGTATCATTCTTTCTAATCCTTCAGAACGTAGACTATTCATATATTGTCTTAAGAGTCCTTGATAATATGGATTATTCTTCAAATCATACATATATTTCGAATTAATTTTGTCAATTTTATTGATTAATAATGAAATCATTTTTGGCTCCTTGTCAGCAACATTGTGTAAACCAGCATTTGTCAATAGAAAAGTGTTATTTTTTATGAAACCATTGTAAACCCCCAAGTCAAACTTTATACGGTGGTCTGGTTTTGCATGGTAGATGTGGATTTTATCATTGATCTGGAAATTATGTACACGTACGACAGTTTTATTCAGTCTTGGATAACCCAAAAAGTTGCATTAAAAAAAAAAAATTATTCCTTTCTAAACTTATTGAAACATATAATTTATTATTAAAATAGGGGTCAATGTAGGTACTGATTTGCTTTACTTGTATTGTCATTTCTTTATAATTTATAAATATTTTAAAAATTAGGCAATTAAGTCCTTGAATGGTAAAGGATTGATGACTATCGGAGAATAATTTTGTTGCAATAGAAGGAAGATCCATTAGTTTGATATCAATTTTTTTATCTTTTGATATCTTGTGGTATTTTATATCACTCACGTATAAGGTCTGGTTTTTTTCCTGTAAAACATAAGCAGAGTACACGTTTGATAATAATTTGATGTTCATACGATTGCCAACAATAGTGTGACAAATGTTATTCAAGTACAGACAAGCACCAGTGAGATCTATTGGGGATTCAATAGTAAATATCACCTCAACGAACTTTTTCTTCATTTTAGACATAAACATCAAAGGTAAATGTGATCTCCAGTCTCTTTCCCTGCTCCTAAGTTTCATGTCGGTTGGTTTTAGGCCGAAATCAATAGCCGGCATTACAGCACGACCGGTCAAAAGTCGTAATTCTAAAAATTCACTTACTAAATGATAAGTTTTAAAGTCCACAACTTTCTTTAAAAATGGCAATATATTTATCTTGTACAAATCAAAAAACACTTCCAAAATTATTGGTATTACATCGTATTTTGCTGTATTCTTTTTTGAATAATAGCGAATGTTGAATTCTCTAAATGATTTGTCAGTGCCATCGTATCCAAATAATGTTAAAAAGACTTGTAATTTGTCTCTAAAGTCATACTTTGTTTCTTGTTTATTCCAATTTCCGTTAATACTAATACCTTGTCGATAATTAGATATAATTTCATTATCTTCTAACTTATTATAGTCATATAATGCGGGTTCGTCTGAAATCTTTTTCTTATAAAAAGAACTCAATATGTTGGTCCAGGTCTCCCAGGAATTTGCAAAACCATTAACTAAATATGGCAGATCATAATAATGTGCAATTTCGTGCATTAAAGCCCATCGTAATCCTCGAACAGGATTTAGAAAATTGTTTACTATAGATTTACCAAATGATATACTTCTTTCATGATAAAGTCCAGTATATTTGTTATAAACTTGATCAAAAATTCTATATTTTTCAACCATAATATGTCCGTACGAATCATTTTTATTTACATATCGACTCGCACCTGTCACATAGTTGTAGTATTTTATTATATCCTCTTCATTTTGAACAGAAGCATACAAACTGAACTTATTTGCTAACATTGCCTTTACGTCACTTGCTGTCATTAAAATCTGTACATAATAACTCTCAACAAAACCATAAACTTCTATTCTTTTGTAAAACTCTCTTTCAGCTTCTTCTGACATACGGTAGGTTATATTTTTTGTATCCAAAACAGGTAGATCAATCCAATTGGTAGTTCTTAATTTTACCTTCACATCGATGTTGTACGATACTGGTAACATTGGCACACAATCGGATGTCGTTGTATAAACTTTTTTACTGTTGTTTGTCTTCTCAAAGTCTTCATCGATAAGGTTTTCATACTCTTCAGTAATGCAGTAAAAGTGAAAATATGTCAGATTTTTTACTGCCTGAGTCGTTAGGGTAAAAGTTGTTCCTTTTTTAATTATTAATATTCCAAAGTGACTCTTGTAATGATACCTTGGAGATCTGTACGTATGAACTTTCCATTTTCAAAAATTTAAAAATAGTCGATTCATTATCGAACATAAAAAATACATACATAGCTTGTAATAATTATTTTTCAATACGTACCTCGGTATTCCAGTTTACTACACCTTCGGTGTTCGAAACCTTAAATAAAAAAATATTCAAAATTGTTAATATTATCATTTTTATGTCTATTTTAGAAATTAATATAAGTAATTTAACAAATATTCTCTTACTATTAAAGAGATTTTAACCAGTTTTGTAATTTATATGAGGCATTTCACGTCAGAAATATCACGATTTGCAAAGGGTATGCCGATTTTCGCAAAATTTTGTGGGATTATAGTTCTATATAAGAGACTTCTTTCCCCCAAATTTTTTCAAAAAAAATTCAAAATTGTTGAAGATACGCCATTTTGAATTTTAATATTAATTTTATAAAATTTTGAATATCTCGGAAAATACTGTTTATGGATTTTTATGAAATTTACACATTTTTCAGGTAAAAGTATGTACTTTCAAATGCAAATAAAGTTAATAAAAAAAATTAATTTTTAAATAAAAAAAGTTTAAAAAAATTTTTTAAACAATTTTTTCTTTATTTACTTTCTCTGTTATTAACATATTTGGATTCCTTATGAATTCACCGTTAATTTCATAAAAAAAAATTGAAGGAGACTCAACTGGTTCTGGAGATATTGAATTTTTTGTAAGAAAAAGCGTCGCCGCGCCACAGCACCATATTGCACAAGTCGCGTAGTACGTTACCGCAGTCGTGCATTGCTGCTGTGACTATGACTATTTTTTACAAAAAATTCAATATCTCCGGAACCAGTTGAGTCTCCATCAATTTTTTTTTATGAAATTAAAGGTGAATTCATAAGGAATCCAAATATGTTAATAACAGAGAGAGTAAATAAACAAAAAATTGTTTAAAAAATTTTTTAAAAATTTTTTTATTTAAAAATTAATTTTTTTTATTAACTTTATTTGCATTTTAAAGTACATACTTTTACCTGAAAAATGTGTAAATTTCATAAAAATCCACAAACAATATTCCGAGATATTCAAAATTTTATAAAATTAATATTAAAATTCAAAATGGCGCATCTTCAATAATTTAGAATTTTTTTTGAAAAAATTTGGGGGAAAGAAGTCTCTTATATAGAACTATAATCCCACGAAGTTTTGCGAAAATCGGCATACCCTTTGCAAATCGTGATATTTCTGACGTGAAATGCCTCATATACTTTTTTTTAACAAATTTAAATTTATTCATGTTTGAATTGTCCTACGTGACTGCTGTATAATTTGATAAGTAAACAAATGATGTAGATGATCTCTTATAATAATTAATTTTCTTATGTAATTTCTAAGAAATTTCTAAAATCTAAAATCAATTCTTCAAATTTATGACGACAATCGATTGTCTCTATCGATTGACGTAGTTTCTACAAATAGTTTTATTAATTTTCATAGATTCTCAGTAGAGAAAATTTTAAATATTACTAGGATTTTATTATTTACTGAAACGTCAAATCATACCCATAATGTTGATAAAATGTAAATGCTCACTTTCCAAGAAATCTAACAGAATTTTGCTATATAAGACGTGACATTATAGAAAATTTTAAACTTAAGTTTTGAAGTTATTATTTAATTCTTAAAATAGTGAATAATGAATACCTTATTACTATTAAAGTTATTATCAATACTTGTCGTTTCATCAATAGCAAAGCAGAGGATTCAATGGAATTCATACGTAAGTTGCAATTCTACAAATTGTATAAAAATAATTCTTTGATTATTTCTCCTTTATAATTTATAAATTATTTATTAAACTACGTCCTGAAATCCGTAAAATCTATTTATATTTCGCCAAACTTTGCTAATAGTTATAAAGACGTGATCCACGATTTGCAACCTATTTATTAACAGGTTGCTTTGCAGAAAACGATTTTTGGAAATGTGTTATGAAATTATTTAAAATCGAAATGAAATTATAATATTCGGAAATTATTTTATAATATACAGTATTCTAACTAAGAAATATATCTTTTAGGTTACTACAAGAATCGTAAAACCATTGATTCGAGAATTTTCGGATCCCTGGACGAAAAATCTCATTCAAAATCAATTCTATCATTACAAAACTCATTTTGGAATAATTATTAAAGAAGGATCGAAAATAAGTTTGTCAGTGGAGGCAGCCTCGACAATAGAAAACTTATTTTTCTATTGTCTTGCTGATGCACCTGATGGATCATTCAACATATTGGATCTTGCTGGGAAATCGAATTTTAGTAAATCCTATACAGCATACTATGATTGTGTGCCTATGATGTCAGTTTCTAACAATGTTCCAGTAACGATAAGAATTAAAACTAGAGAATGGTTACCATTACCAATGTTTGATTCCAATGATGTTACACTTCATTCTTCAGAAAAGGATGAATCTGAATTTTACCAAAAAGTACAAGTTTACGGATTCGTTGAAAATTACTATACACAAATGTTGCTCTCAGTGCGAGACATTGAAAATTTAAAATCATCATCTTCTAGTCTGTACGTTGGCTTACTGAATCAAATTGAGGTAGTTGAGTACTACGACTATTTGACAACTATCCATACTTATGAGAAGAAAGACATTCTTTCTTCCCTAAAATTCATCGATCGAACATCTTTATTTATACGCTCAGAAAGATGCAATGAATACAATGTTCTTAATTCAGCAACATGTTCGAATTTCAATTTTCATTGGATATCTGTTACTGATAATATTGAAGCATTTCTACAACCTGAAAGAGGATCGAGTTGGATCTTATTGCAACAGTTTGCCCACTACTACAACAGGAAGGAAACGGATGTTAGTTTTGGAGAAACGTACAATTTGTGGAATGATATGTTTGCAATCATGTATCAACAAAGGTTCAGAAAACAAAATAATCGCGTTAATACAGACTTGCCATATAAGTTAAACGATATTTTTAGTTATCAATATGGAAAACTCTTCCCGCAGTGGAATTATGAAGAAAAGTTAAGTTTATTTATAAGTCTCTTTGGCTATGATGGAACTGACACGAATTTAAGGGAATTCCGAATTCGACATATGCCTAACAATCAGGTTGTAACTTCTTATTTTCCGAGTAATATAGTACCTACTATTCTGGAAATATTTTTTGATCTGTACGATATAAATTTATTACCATTTTTGAAGAAAGTGATCAATTTTGATGAACACAGTTTATTGAATTACGATTTTGAATTACTACTTGCAACCGGAAAGAATGTAATGCCTGCCGTTGATTCTCGTATTAAGCCAACCGATTTAAGTATCAGAAGTGAGGAACGCGATTTGAGAGAAATTTCTCCTCTGATGTTGATGACAGAGATGGAAATTAATTATGTAAAAGTTGCATTTAAAATAATATCTCCAATTGATCTCACGAACTGTTGTCTGTATTTAAATAACAAATGTCACACTATTTATTTTTGGATGATGCATTTGGAATTGCCGGCAGGTGTTTACTCTGTTTATATAGCAGAGAAGAAAGGTGAAAATGTTTACGCTAGTGACATAACATATCATTCTATAAAAAACTATTCGTATATTAAGGTTGATGTGAGAAATATTCCAGAGGATATAGCTTCGCCCTTGATTCACTACTCTTTTGATGTCTTAGATGTTAATGACAACGTATTTATAAACATATTTATAAAATACTCTGACATGACGCTCAGAATAAAAGAATTGCATAATGAAATCTCCGGTAATTCGACAAACGATGATGAATACTTTTCGATAAACTTGAAGCGAAATGATTCGTCCATTATGAAATACAGTTGCAGCCATTATTCACTGTACCAGACATTTTCTCCAGTTTTGCAAGTCATTAAAATCAACGATGAAATTACTATTTATCACCAAGATGCAGATCGTTTAAAATTAAATTTAGAGTGGGAGGATCAAGTAGCAGAGAATAGTTATACTTTTCTAGTTACAAATGTCGGTTTGAATCCAATCATTCCAGAATCAAAAGTAAAATCTGAGTCTGATGTTAAAAAAGCTGTAAATTATTTTAATAGGCCCACAACTGCATTGCAATATGCTTTTGATGCTCTAGGTTTTGGTGACGAACTCTTCTTGATAATTCTTATCGACTACATTGATTCAACAATAACTATGAAACAAATCAAACATAACATTCATGGAGTTTTTTGGAATGAACTTTATTTTTCGATAAGTTTAGAAAGAGATGGTGATGTTATTTTTAAACATGAATTTTCAGGCGATACGGAGAAGAATAAAAGTCTGTTAAATAAAGTTCACAAATTCTCTCCGGGTGATAAAATTAATTGCTACCACCGAGAACCAAGAAGACTGAAATTCAATTTACCCGAATATAATAGCGTAGAAGAGAAGAATTCATTTGTTTTGACCACTGACGGTTTATATTCTTTAAGCAAAAATTCAGTTTACGATATGAAGGAAAATAAAATTGCTTATAAAGGTACACGACGACATGTTATTAATGCTTTAGGTTTTGATGACGAACTGTTCTTTATAATATATATAAATTTCGACGATTCGACAATAACTTTAAAACAAAACAAGCGTGATATTCATCATCGTTTTTCGAATGAACTATATTTTTTGATAAGTTTAGAAAGAAATGGTAATGTTATTATTAAACATGAATTTTCAGGCATCACTGAGAACAATAAAAGTCTTATAGATGAAGTTCACAAATTCTTCTCGGGCGATACAATTTACTTCTATCATTCAGAACCAAGCAGACTGAAGCTGAATTTACCTGGATATCATAGTCTAGGAAACTCTAACTATTTTCTTTTGAAAAATGATGGTTTATACAATATCCAGAATGAGACGAGTAATATTTTGGGTGAAAAAGCACATACACCCGAACTGCAATATACTTTCGATGCTTTAGGATATGGTGACGTATTGTTCTTAAAGATATTTATAAATTACGTTAATTCGACAATAATTATAAAACAAATTAAAGACAATGTTCATGGTAGTATTGATAATAAATTATATTTTTCTGTCAGAGTTGAGAGAAATTGTTCTACCATTCTCAAACATAAATTTATAAGCAACGAGTATACTAAAAAGCTTGTCAATGCTACTATTAAATTTAAGTTTGGTGATAAAATACACTTCTTTCATAAAGAAGCAGGTCGTTTTAGAATAAATTTGAAAGAATACCGCAATAGTAAGTTAAATAATTACACTTTTGTTTTGAGAAAATCCGGTTTGCGTAAAATCAACGACGTTGATTCATTTGTTGCTGCCGATATACAAAGAATTATTAAATTCAACAAAGATTACAATATTGACTTGAGCTACAATGAAATATATCAAATTTTTTTTGCACATTATTTCCGTTTGCTGCGTTCTAATAATCTACAATCTTATATCAATAATTATTGCGATTCCACATATTGAATAAACTAATTGTTAAATGTACTATACTCCAACAATAAGTCCCGCAATTATATTATTTGTGTGCATAGAATTGAAGTTTTTCTTCTAAAATGTATATTATTTTTAACAATAGTTTATAGTTACTTTCCTCTCTTACAGCCTTCAAATGAAAGTGTTATTTATTTTTATATTCATTTGCTTGATTTCTGCAATTATACTCTATGTACTTTGTTTCTTGAAGGACTTTTAGCCCTATGGACTTATTCTCAATAAATAAATGAGTGAAAAAGTGAATCTATACAAAAAAATGTTAACTTAATGTTACACTGAATTTTATTTATTATTTAATTTTTCTGAAATAAAATGTTAATCAATAGGGGAAGAGGTTCGATTGTGGGCATGGTTCTGTTGTGGACACCTCCGCAGAACTTTTGACAGAAATGAGTTTTGTCAAATGTGATAAATATCACGTGTTTGTGTACAAATAAACAATGTTTCTATCAATTTTCATGTTTTTTTATTGCACATAATTATGAAAATTTTCATAGAGAACGTAGAATATTCATATATTGTCTTAAGAGTCCCTGATAATATCCCAGTAAAAAAAAAGTATTCAGAATAGAGAAAAAGTATTGGTGGAGACGTTCGGTGAATGCGTTTTCGCGACAAAACCGTATTGGTGGGTTACGGTGAATACATTTTGCTTACCGTGAATACTTTTTTTTTTAAACTTTCGATTTAAAGATTCCTAAGCAAAGTTGAGAATATTTATAAAGAGCGTAAGTGAGCTGAAGTATAAAAATGACTATTGCGAGAAGGAAATAAGAAATTTTGAGAAAAAACGAAAAATTAAATGTGACAAACAGATTGTCAAATGTTGATCAATTACCATATGCTTTTCTGTGCCTACAACGTATGATGATTAAAAGGAACTTTGACGTTACCGGCGGAACTTACTGTTTCACATACATTTACTTGGATTTCTCAAGTTTCTGTCGGTATCGTCAATGTTCCTTTTCATCATCATACGTTGTAGGTTTGTCACATTTAATTTTTCATTTTTTCTCAAAATTTCTTATTTCCTTCTCGCAATCGTCATTTTTATACTTCAGGTCACTTACGCTCTTTATAAATATTCTCAACTTTGCTTATGAATCTTTAAAACGAGAGTTTAAAAAAAATGTATTCACGGTAAGCAAAATGTATTCACCGTAACCCACCAATACGGTTTTGTCGCGAAAACGCATTCACCGAACGTCTCCACCAATACTTTTTCTCTATTCTGAATACTTTTTTTTTTACTGGGATGGATTATTCTTCAAATCATACATATATTTTCAATTAATTTTGTCAATTTTATTGATTTACAATGGAATTATTTTGTATTTCTTGTCAGCAACATTGTGTAAACCAGCATTTGTCAATAGAAAAGTGTTATTTTTTCAAACCATTGTAACCCTCTAAATTAAACTTCATATTTTCTGGTTTTGCATGGTTGATGTGAATTTTATCGTTGATATTGAAATTATGTTCACGTACCACAGGTAATAAATAAAGTGAAATAAATTTAATAAAAAAGAAAAATTAAAGAAACTTTCAAACCACTCGCATCCCGAGTGGCTTGATTCGATTAATCAAAAGTGAACCCAGCTAGGTGCACTTTCGGTGCACTTTTGGTTCTTTCATAAAATACTTGTTAATTTGAGTAGAAAAGTACGAAATATGCATAAATATGATGAAATAGTTAGATATAGAGTAGATTTATACAATAATTTTAATAAATAATAAATAACAATCATAAAAGTGTAGTGATGCGTGTCACATTTTTCTTCTTCTCTATTTTAGCCAATTTTTAAAGTGAATAAATATAGATCAACAGAGAAGACCCTTAATATTAATAAAGAATTGTTAAATAAGTCAATTTTCATTGATTATAACACTAATTTATTAATAATTATTAAAATTCTAATTAAATGTAAATAGTGTGGGTAACTATAAAAATTACACAACAAAGCAGATTTCCCCTGGCAGCGTTCGACCCAATATGCTAAAGTGCTTGCTGTTTAGAATACTACTGATATATCGCCGCGCATTTGTCACGACAAATGGCGAGGCTGACATTCGAACTCCTATTTTCAAAAAGCAATTATTATATTTGTTGTTTGTTGGTTTAGTTAAACAAAATGGAGAATCTAATTAATATTTGAAAAATAAAACATATAATACCAACCCCCTAAGAAAAAATGAATGATTTAAACCAATAAAAGTAATAAACAAACTCCTCCTATTTTCAAAATCAATTTTTCTAATTGTTGATTAAGTTAAACAAAATGGAGAAAATATTAAACTTTAAAAACCATAAAATTTAGTCACACCCTATTGAAAATCCCCATATGGGAAACCACATGGGAAACCACATGGGATCCTATGTCAAAAACCATGTAAAACCCTACTTCCGTGAAGGAAACCACGTGGTTTACCATGTGGTTTCCCAAGTCAAACCATATGGGAAATTGAGACAGGATTTTAGTTAGGAATAGACATGGGTATCATTTATTTATAATTATTTTCCCAAGTCAATCCCCAAGTGAAAAACAGTATCATTTATTTATAATTATTTTCCCATGTCAAATCCTAAACCAAATCCCATGTGAAAAACATTATCCGCCTTATTGAATATCCCTACATGGGAATCCACTTGGAATTTTACAAGGGATTTCACATAGGATTTTATATGGGAATTGACATAGGATTTCATGCAAGATTTCACCTAGGATTTAATGAGACATCACATAGTATTTTATTAAAGATCCAATGAAGAAATTTTCAAAGGATTAAAAATTATTTAATAAAAAATTAAATAATAAATAGTATTAGTGTTACAAGTCATCAAAAAAGTAAAAAAACGATCATTTGAAACACGTCCTCTCTGCTACAGGTTCTCAGCTTTTATATACTTCCAGAATCGTCTCAACAGCGAGAGAAGTCACTTTCGCCACCTAGCGGTGAAAGTATAGGAGCGACAGTAATCTTTAACATTACTAAGGAAACCATGTGGAATACCACGTAGGATTCCATGTGGTTTCCTACGTGGGGATTTACATGGGATTTTACTTAGGAATTTAAGTAGAAATAAATTCCCAAATGATATTTTTTATTCGTGGGTTCAATATTGGCATAATATTTTTCTCGGAAATATCATCCACAGTATCCTAGCTGAGTTAATTAAATATAATATTTAACTAAAATAATATAATATATTTCTTGAGATAAGTATTGAAATATAATTTATTCTTAAATAATTTGAAATTTTTAGGGGTCAAAATAAAAGAAATGCAAAATGAAAAAAAGAATTGAAAGGATATTGTTGAGAATAAGGAGAGTATTAATAAATACATAAAAAAAATTATCTCAATCAAATATACATCGTTTTATTTTATTCACAGCCACAAATATACACATAATCCAAGTTTTAAAAGTATAGTCATATTTATTCTAAAATTAATAAAATACATCATTTTCACAAGAAACAGTACATATTAAACTAAATGTAAAATAAAATGAAACGCCTTTTACTGTAAGTTTTTTAAAATTAAGAAAATTTGTCAAATTTTGAAAAATGAGAATTTTAACAAGCTGTGAACTGTTAAAATGTAGTACATTTTGAGATATGAATCGAGTATTGTCAAAAAATTGTGAAAATGAATGAAAAGTATGAGAAAATTCTCAGTTTTCAAAATTTAGCAGATTTTTTACATTCCCAGACAAATCATTTCAATTGTTCGATGATAATGAAAATGGTCATGTCGTGTTTATTTAAATTTTCCTGTGTTTATTGAAAGTTCAGATAGCGACTGCAGGTTTCCAGTGATTATTAAAGTACTTTTCAGTTCTGAGCCTTAAACTTGAAGGTTTAAGCTTTTATTTAAGCTCTTGTAGAGATTTTTATCATGTTGCGTTTTCTTGTTACACTGCCTCAAAAAGTGCTAAAAATGCTATTTTTTGGAAACTTTAGTCTCGTTTTGTATGAGAATGACCGAATGAAAAAAATTTTTTCTGGTACATTCTTATTCAGTGACATCTAAACTTTGAATAAACACAGAAAATTTTAAATAAACACGACTTGTCTATTTTTTTGTAACCCAGTGAAATCATTAATATACCTAACTATAAATCATTATAAAACCATTATTGGTTTTAATTAAATAAATATAATTAATGATTAATAATTAACCACTTACATTAATTTATAAATTTATTTATTTTCTTATTTCACCCTTGAAAAGTTGCAAAATTTCATTTTTCTATATTATATTTAAATGTTAAAACATTTTCATTTACCTAAATTTTATTTACTCGAATATTTACATGATTTAAAGAATTTTTAACCTAATTCCCATATGACATATTTTTTAAATTTCCCAACTATTTTTTAACACATAATGCAAGTCTCAGAAATTTCATTTTTGTCTTAAAATATTACAGAGGTGGGAAAAGTATTTAAAAATTTTATTCCTATTTTAGGACAAATGATATTTCTGAAACTTGGATTAAAATATTAAAAAATAATTCGTAAATTTTGAAAATTACAACAAACGAAATTTCGGATAAATGAATTTTTTTGTTAAATGGTTTTGGCATAATATTTTTCTCGTAAAGATCATCCACAGTACCCTAGCTGAGTTAATATGTTCAATCATTTTAACCCTCATTTAAATAATCTTATTATTTGGGTGATTAAATTTAAAATGTCATTTTCATGTCCTGCCCAAAAATCTGGAATACTAGTTCATATATAAAAGTTTTTGAAGTCAATTAATTTTCTTAATCACTCCTTCTACTTAAATTAATAATTCTTAGTCGCTAAAAATTCTCTGAAAAAATTTGGCAGAAGAATTAGAAGCAAAATGTCAGTGGTGTCCCTTGTCCGCACTTAAGAAATCAGAACTTTACCTAATAATAAAAATTTTGATTCTCACATTTTTAGTACCAGAAAAATTATTTTGTACAGCTAAGAGTCTATATTTTTATATAGTAATTGTGCTAGCAGAATAATTTTGATCCAGTGCTAGAAAAAAAATCAAAATCGCCTGTCCGTAAGTTTCATATTTTTAAGTAATTATCGCAAATTTTGAATATTATGCCTGATATTTAAATAACCTAGTGCAGATAATTGCCTTATTAAGCGTTAATAGTATTGGTGATATGTATAGCTTCTTAAAGAAAAAACATTACAACATTCTATCGCATCTATAACTTGTACGGTTGGTGGCAGAAAGCAAGTATCGCTTTGTCGAGTACACCATGTCAGTGGTGTCCCCATAAAAAAATTGTTCATAATATTAATATTTTTTAAATATTATTGTATCTCATTTTCAGTTATTACACGTACTTTAAAAACCGCACCGACTTTAACTTAAAAATAAAGTATTTCTTTTTCGAAATTGAGAAATGAAGCAAAATGTCAGTGGTGTCCCTTGTCAGTGGTGTCCCCTCAAAATTCTGTTTCTTGCAGCTTATTATTTTATTTTTAATAAATTTGCGTTAAATTTACTCTTTATATGCAGTTAATGAAGATTTGATACTGGATTGTAATTTATAAGCTGATTTTATTCTCACACTATTAAAAAAAAATTATCAGTGAAATCTTTCAAAAATGTCAGTGGTGTCCCTCAATGTTCATATGTCTTTTTGGTCTTCAAAAGCATATTAATTTATGGCAGAACTCATTACAAATATTTTTTAAGTCATGTTGAAACATTCATTATTGTAATTTGAAATATTTTAACTTTTTAAAGTTGTAAGAATTTATTTGAGAAAAGAATAAACGAAAACAGAAAATTTCTTATCATTTCTGCCTATCATTTTTCACCTGGTGAAAATTAAAATTTGCTTCCACCTGCTCGACCACTATTATTTTTGTCCATCATATATTCTAGTCAACCAAAATAGAGTATCGTTAAGTTCAAAATCCATTTACACTTTTTTAAGTATATTGTATGCAACCAAAAATTGTAGTGCAAGTTACTGCAAACTATATGAAACATGACTTATATAATTTACAATTAAATCGAAAGCTAAATTAAATCAAATTATGTTATTACCTTCTCTATAAATGCCATTCCCAATTTTTGAAATCCAAAAATTGAAAAAATTATTGGCAATTGTGTTAATCGTTGGCGTAAGTCATCCATCTAATAAATTGAAACAATTATTAGCATTAATGACTAGGACATTAAAATATTAATTTAAATTATTATAATTAAATAAATATATATAATGCTTCTATTTATTCAGCATCAGTGCCAGAAAATTATTTTTACTTCTAATGTTTTGGTGTAGTCACTTCTTAGTTATTTGCAATATCATAATTAAGATGCTAAATACCAATTATGTAATTTACTTTTGCTTTGATTCCGAACATTTTTATTACCTCTATTACAAGTGATTTGTTTATTTTGTAATTTGCTAATTTAGACAGAGTTTTTATTATCTCATCGCTCTAAAATAAATTTTTTTTTAAATTTATCAATAAACTTGTAAATTTTTTTTTTGTAGAATAAATTATTTAAAATTTAACATTATATATTTACCTGCTTCTCGATTTGACAACATGGCGCGACAATGAGAAAAAATCTTAAAGCGCTTTTAATAAATTTTAGTAAACATGCATACTCTCTAAATCTGAATATGTGAAAATTCACATATTATTTGTACTCGTCTTCTCGATCAATAAGTGCATATACACTTATAATAAGTGAAATTTCACTCAGAATAAGTGACACATATTCAGATTTAGAGAGTATAATAAATAAAACATTCCATAATAATATGCCGACATTGCGATGCTAACTGATCATGTAAGATTGATCCATTTGAATTTTTCTCAAACTTTTCTATCAGCAAGTTGTTTAAGAATTTGATTTTAATAGCAATGAATCTGTTACATAAAATAAAAAAATTATTTAATTCTTAAATAACATGTTTCTAAAAAACTTGTAAATTATTTTCAGTTGCTTTGTGATTTTAAAATACCATAAATATACGTACTTGATATTTGAGTGTATATTCAAATCTATAACTGTTGGAAAGTAGAACACCGAAAAATGTATTCCAAACAATTACCATTGTTTATATATACAAATTTCTGTCATGAAGCCTAAACATAAAAAGGCAAATATCCATCCTAGCAGACTTTTAAAAGTTGTACTATAATTTTCCTTGGAGCCAAAATTTCTAGTCGCATCATTCAGTTCCATCATACTTTTATAAAGATCGTTCAACTTCTATTAATTTGAAAGGCACAAATTACAATTCTTGTAGGAACTTTTAACATATGCTTGAATTTCGTCTTAAAATTATTATCACGTACCTTAAAATTAAACCAACCGTTTATGTGAGCAGCAAATATTACTATTGTGTCAATGACAGATACTCCTTCGAAAACATATGCAAATGAGCTTATCGAGAGATCATCAGACTGTAATCCGTGAAAAACGTCACAAATCATCAAACAAAGAATACCTGTAATAAGAATAAAATTAATAATAAAAATTAATAATAATAATTATACAATCAAATAATTACAAAATCAATAAAGAATGAACATAAGTTGTTTTTTGTTAGTCATTAATAAATTATTATTATTTAGTGGAGCCATTTGCAGATAATTTTGCAGAACATACCTAAAAATATTATCACCGGAATGGAACGGAATTTATTATATTTCGTACCGCCTAAGGGGTATCCACTGAAGCCAAAGATTGACAGCCAGTTTATGAAAATCAGAGGATAAATACTTTCACGAATGTTATTCGGAACCCACTTTACAAGTTTCAATAATCTCTCCATTGCTTTTCTTTTTTGTTCGAGTATAACAGTGACAATGTAGTAAATAATTATGAAAGCTCACTTACTATCTTTAGAATATATTTTGCAAATTATACGCTTGCGTTCTCTTCATGCTACACATATAATTGCAGCAATTATATGGCAACAACTGAATTATTTAGATTGATTTCTATCAACATTTGCACGTTTATTGCGAATCCTCTCTGTCAACTTCTTTTTAAAATCAGCCAGATCTATGACTTTCTGATATCTGATATATTCTGATATCTGATATATTCTGATATCTGATATATTCTGATATGTTATTTATAGAAAAAATAGAATTTTTTCTCTTATAAGGAACTCAACTTCTCTTAAAATCAACATCGCTTTTTACCCAAATAAACTATTTAGTTATAGAGCTGACGATTATCAATTTCTGATAAGTATTTTAAACACTTTGTTGTATGAAACAAATGTTTCATTGAAATGAGGAAATTTTTTTTAAATAATTGAATTTTCAAGAAGATTTTTTTAATTTATAATCATAATAATTGGTATTTTGTTGAGATATTTTTGTAAACTTTGAACATAATTGAATTTTTTATCAATCATTTGTAACTTTTTTAAAATTCAAATTTTGTAGTGTTTTTAACTAAAATTCATTTATAAATTAATTATTTTTATAATAGCAATTCATGGGAATAATCTTCAGTAAAAGGATTTAGGTGACTTAAGAAAGGTGATATTTTGGAACTTGATTGGTACGTTGGTTGATTACTATATGTCAACAGAGTAATGTCTAAGTGCTTACATTTCCAGGCAATTTTTAATACTCGTTTAATAAACTCATGACTTGAATTTGCAGAATTTAGAATCAACATTGGACTTTTTAATATTTCGCAAATAGTATATAGTGCTCGAATAGATTTAGAATTTTTTAATAGATCATTATCAATGATGATTTTTGATACCGAGGTGACTAAGAGTTGATTATTTCCATAAGTGTTGATATTGGGATTAACATTCTAGGTACTTGTCCCTTGACATAATTGCTTTTTACTTCAGGGTTTGTAATCATTAAGGATGGAAAATGGGAATTAATTTTTTTCACTAGAGAATATATAATAGAATCTTTATGGTAAGGTTCATCGTCAAGATCGAATACAACTTGATGCACTTTTGCTTCTTCGTTTAAATACTTTATCAATCCATCGAAATTACCGCTTGTAGATGAGATGTTTAGTATTACTCTTGATAAAATAAAGGTAACAAAGATGCTAATAATTTTCATCCTTTACAACAGATATTATTATAGTTCAAATGTCAGACACATACTGTTAATAATTTTTCAGTCAGAGGAGTAAATTCTATTAAAACTTAATATGAAAAAAATGTAAGCGAAATAAATTTTAAATAAATATTATCTATTAAAATCAGAAGTAATGAAAATATTACATTATTAGAAGTAATGAAAAGCAAATATTAGAATATAATTCTTCAAAATTGGTTAAAGGAATAATCCTTTTCTTTTTCACTAAAGGAATAACAATAATAATTTCTTTTATTTACAGAATAAGTGTAGGAAAGAATTCTATTCTAAATTTATATCGAATTCTTTTGTATTTGTATACTACATATTATATTTGTGAAACTCCGTCTTTAGTTATTCAGACAATACAATTTTATATTTAAGGTTCTTGTTTTTTTCTGGTGACTATAATGAGAATTTTTACTTATTCATAAAAAATCAATCAAATTAGAAAATCGTTTTAACTATGTATTTCGGATGCGGTATTTTATTTACAAAAAAATAATACAGTAATCAGAGGATGTACACATCTTTTCTGTTTAAAAAATCTTTTATTTCAATATTAATGTACAGCTTAAAAGATAATTGTACTGTTTAATTAATCATGTCACAGATATAAAAAAGTAATTATATAAAAATATTTAATGTTACGATTCCAAAAAAAGTCGATGATTTTTCCTCACGTTGCGATCGATGATAGCAAAGTAAAATATGAAAACGATGCCTGAAGTACCTGAGAAAAATATATCTTTAATTAGTATTTTATATATTTTTTAAAAATCGTCATTCAATTATTTTAGGCTTGCCACGTAATCTGGGAACCTGGAAAACCTGGAAAAATCAGGAAATTTTCATAGGAATTCTGGAAAATTATTGTTTTCTAAAGTTATTGTGCTTATTCTTGAAATCTAATTTTTCTTAAATATTTCAAAAAGGTTTAAATTTGAATCTTTTGAAGAACTTTAATTCCTATGGAAAAATAATAATTAAATATTTATTTAAAAAAGATAAATATAATAATGCTTAATGCGGAATACAGTATTTTATATGAAAGTACCATGTATTTGTAAAAATTTATTGAAATTATTTAATTTTGTAAAATATAAATGTAGTTTTAAAAACCTGGAAAAAATTAGTTTTTTAATCTGGAAAAATCAGGTAATTTGAAATGAGAAAAAGTGTGGCAACCCTGTATTATTAAGAATGGAATAATAGGAAAAAAAATAACCGAAAAATTAAAAATAATAAAGTTTCATTTTTATAATAATCTTACTGAACAAACACTCCTCAATGATAAATTTAACATTTTTCCAGCAGTTAATTTACATGGAATTCGACTTCTCATCATAATTAGTAATAAAAGTTTTCTTAATTTCGCCGGCATTTGATACCAATAACTATCGTAACTGCAAATTAATGAAATAATTATTAATTTAATAATTTCACATTAAAAGAATTATATAAATTATTTTTATAAATATTTAAGGAGGAAACCACATTAATTTTTTCATTTTGTATGTACATTGAAATTATTTTATCCCTTTCAAGAAAATTCCTCAAAAATACTTAGGAAATTAGCCCCTAATGTGGTTCCGTCATTCTTAAAATGTGAAAATTTTTATTTATTTGAAAAAAAAGTCAATCTTAAAATTTAAAGACAAAATACGACGTAATTTATGCTGGAAAATATTACAGATTATCTGCAAGATTAGCACTGGAATCCATTAATCTTTGTGCAGGAAAACTGTTTAGAAAGAGATGAGCAATTGAAGCTGCAGTGAATGCTCCAAATCTCATAGCAATATCAAATTTATTCATATTTTCAACAAACTGAAATTCAAAATTCAAATAATAAATTATAAAGTAGAAAATTAATTTTCCCTTGAAAATAAAAGAAACAAATTTTACTTTAATGTAATAATATTCACAAAAAAAGAAGTTTCAAGAAAAGTATTTCACCTGAATTAATGAAGTAGAAATTAATATCGCATTTAGTCCGACTACGAAAAAAAAGCAAGGACTGAATAGGGATTCGATGATACTGCACAATCTAAAATTAGTATTCTAATTTTAATAACAATCATGTGGTTAAATATAATTAAATATATTTTTAAAAAATTAAGAACTTTTTGAATTATTATTTGAAAACTGATTTAATACTCATATCGCAAACTTATAGAAAAATGGATTTAAATTTAGGAAATGAAAGCAAAATATTATAATATATAGTTTAAAGATTAAAAACAATTCGACTATTTTCTCTGACTAATTACATTTTTCTTTGAAAATGAAGATTTTTAATAATACGAACTCAATCGCTCGATTATGTTGTTCAATGCAAAAAATCACAGCTTTTATGTTGTAACTTTCACTTTGGTTGCTATTAATTTTTTTCAATTGTACACTAAAAGAGAAAAGATTTTTATTTTATTTATTTTATCTCTAGGAAAATTTTTCTATTATCATAAAAATTTGACAGAAATTTATTTTAAAATAAATTTTTATAATAACGTATAGTTTGTTATAGTATATAGTTTTTTTTGAAATAAAATTTACCCAATTATTTGAAATAATGCACAGGCATGTTCGGTAAAAACTGCCAAAATTGATTCAGAACCAATGAGAATGCACATTTCCAAAATGGCATTAAATGAAATATGTAACATAACCCAATTAAAATAGTCATCGGAATAATCGGCAAAATAATACATTTGATATGGCAATTTTTTTGTACGCGTTTCATTTAAAGGTAAAACAATGTCGAGAAATTGTGGCACCACTGACATTAGTAAATAAGTTACTAATGTTCCTATTAAGCAAACTGTAATTTTTTATTATAAGAAAATTTATTAGTTTATACTTTTTATATAATTATTATTTTGTTATTATTATCATCAGGATTTTTATTTTAAATTCAAATAATACTTACTTGTATAAAAAATTGTATAAATTCTTCCACAATTGGCGAAATTAAAAATAATCATCTGTTCGCTTTCTGATGACCAAAATTCCCAATCGCGTTTAATTTCGTTCAATAGTCGACTTAACTGTCATAAAAGATATTAAAGGTTTATAATTTTTTATTATAATGATAAAAGGGTTGCCATAGATCAAGAAAGTCGCAGGGAATTTAGGGAAAAGTCAGGGATTTTTAATCAATTATTATTTATTAATTTTTTTATACATTTAATCGCAATAATTCAATTATTTTTATAAATAATAAAATTATTTTTAGGAATTCAATTATTTTTAATAGAATTTTAATTGATTCCCTCAAAAAATGCATTAATTCTTTGAAATTTTATTAAAATTCGTCGAAAGACTTCAATTTTAAAAAGCATTTCAATATTATTTAATAAATTATTTATTTTTATATTAAAATAATTGAATTCTCGTAGAACTTTCTAATAAAAATTGATTTAAAAATCAATTTTAGTTAAATTTTTAGACAATAAATAATTGAATAGGCATTAAAAGCATTAAAGGATGAATTTTTCAGAAATATTTGACTTTTGGAAAAGTTACAAATTCTTGTCAAAATTTCAATTATCTTTATAATTTTATAAAGATAATTTATAAATAATAAAATTTTCGCAGAAATTTAATAATGTTTTAAAATTAGAAAAAAATATTCGTCAAAATTTAAATTATCTTTATTATAATTAATAAAATATTTCGCAGAAATTTATTTATTTTTAAAAATTGTAATAAAACTCTTTAAAAAATTCAATTATCTTTATAAATAATAAAACTATTCCCAAAAATTCAATTTTATTCAGAAATTTAAAAAAAATTCTCGTCAAAATTTCAATTATCTTTATGAATAATAAAATTTTTCGCAGAAATTAAATTTTTTCAAAAATTTTAATTAGGTTCTTGTCAAAATTTCAATTTCATACAAAAAGTTTTCTTAATTCAATGATTTTCAATATTTTCTATTTTAATACAATTTTCCAAAAGAATTCAATTATTTAAAAAAAAATTTAGTTAAAATTCTACGCAAATATTTAAGTATTTTCATAAATAATAAAAATTTCACTGGAATACAGTTGTTTACAAAGAATAACATTTTTTTACAGAGGTTCATTTATTGTCATAAATAACAAAATTCTTTTTATGATTTCAATTATTTTCATAATCAATAAAATTCATCGTAGAATTTCAATTATTTTTAATCCAATTTTAATGTGAATTCCTCGAAAAGTGTAATAGAATACTATTATAATTGTAATATAATAATTATTATTCTTAAAAATTTTATTAAAATTCGTCGAAAGAATTCAATTATTTAAAAATTTGTTGATACAATTTTTTATGAGAGTTGAATTTTAAGAAACATTCAAAATTATTCAATAAATTATTTATTTTTGCATATATATATATATATAATAATTGAATTCTCATAGAATTTTCTCATGAAAATTGAGTTAAAAATGGATTACAGTTAAAATTTTAGATAATATTTGAATGTTGAAAGCATTAGGATAGTGTGAATTTTTAGAAATAATTGAATTTTCAAAAAACCAATTTAAAATTTTGGAAAATTTGAATTTTTCATATTTTTATCTAACAATTCAGTAGAATTAATTTTTATGAAAAAGTTTAATTGAATTTTTTTAAATTTTTTATTTTCTAATGTATATTTAATTGAATAATTTCCGAATTATAGTAATTTTTGATAAAATTGAATAATTGTAAACAAACGAATTATTGAAAATTCTGAAAGAAAACTTTGTCGAAAAATTCTTAAAAATAATAATTGTTTCTAAGAAGAATCTGAATATTCTTTTGTGGTCAGGGTAAAAGACAAAATTTTGTCTGGAAATCAGGGGAAAATAAAATTAAATTTTTATGGCAACCCTGGAATAAAAATAGACAATTTTTCTCATAATGAAAAGTGAACCTTTTTTTGTTTTGTTATATAAATAATGCAATACACCAAACAACCGATTTCGGTAAAAATCGACGGCAATGTTTCCATCATTTTATTCCAATCACCCCAAACTTTGAAGAAACCAGCTCCCTGTTCATCAGAAAATTTCTTTTTCAATTTAATTCAAGAAAATTTTTTAAAAATTTTTTAAGTGTTTATTTAATTAAATAGGCTAAGTAATTTATTTTTAGTTTTCGACTACACAGAAAGTAATAATAATTTCCTTCGATAGGTATCCATTTTAATCCAATTATTTCGCTTAGCAAATTTTCCACTGCCCTCACTAAAAAATAGATATAATACAAAAGAATAAAATAAATTCTCAATTAATCATACCGTGGTAACTAAACAAATTGTCATTGCAACAAAAATGAAACATTGTATAAGTGAATTCCTCCTTGGACTGTGAAATGGCCATTGACCAATGCAAGATAAGAAAAATTTATTAATAAAAAAATAACGACTATCAAAAAAATCAGACATTTCTCCTGTGAATGCCATTTAAAGACTGCGATGGATTTCTACATATATATTGAGGGAAATGAAACTTCGCCGTCGATATATTGCGAGAAATTACAAATCATTTATTCATGTCAAATTGTCAACCCTTTAAGAAAAAGATTTCTATGAAAAATAATTTCATCCTATGGCTATTTTTCCATTCCAAGAGTATAATAAATTTTAAATGAATATTAAATGGAACAAAAAATTGTCAGCAACTGGTCTATAGGTAATTTTCTTTTGAATGTTTGACTTATTTATTATTACCAAAATTATTTCTATAGAACTCGTGATTCTTAAGCTTCTAACAATAAAGTATATTTTCCCCCAAGTTGTGAATAGTCATCATTCTATCTCCAAACAGATAGTGAGATAAATTTTTTAAAAACTAGCAATTGAATCTAAAATAATTATATAGCCAGGAATAAAAATATTAATTTTTAGTCATCATTCTTGTTATCAAATTGTATAAGAGATGATAACTTAATAATATATTTTAATAATATATTTAAATAATAATATATCATCAAGAAGGAGATGATTACATTTAAACAAATTTTTCTTTATTTATCAACCTCTTTACATATTATACTTTAACAAATGTTTCTTTTAATCCATTTTGTCATGTGTAATATTAGGTTTGGGTAATTTTATTTCAATAATTACTTATTTCACTTAATCTTCTCTTTGCATCATTTAAACTCATTACTGTAAGTAAAAATTTAATGATCGATATATATATATATATATCACGATTATTATAAATAGTTTATGAACTATGAAAATTTTCTAAAAGATTAATAAACAAAATTTTTAAACAATTTTCAGATGATTTTCACTAAATCTTAAAATGAGTGCATTTTAATATAATTATTATTTCTTATCAAAAAAATTTTTACGAACGTTCCAAGTAACAAAATTTTGAAAAAAAAGATTTGATTATACAAAATTTGATTTGTTACAAATTATTTTTAAATGTATTTATTATTATTATTATTATTATTATTTATTATTTATTATTTATTTTATTTTTTTTATTTCAGAAATGTATTTCATGATATTTTTAGAATATTTTACCGTAATATCTACAAGAAAGTTTATGTGTTCTATAGGATGATATAATAGTTATATTTCAAAAATATTATACCTTTTACATCTTTGCCATTGTGCACATCACTGTACACAGGATCATAAGGTTCATCAGCTGTATTAAAAGCTGTGATTTTCAGTTTATAAGACATTTTTGGACCCATTTTGTCATCAAATTTGCCTTTAGGATGTAAATTTGATATAATTATATGTTTACTTGTTAAGCCATCATCTATATTCAAAAGCTCGATTTTGTACTTATTAATATCGGAATTATCCACTTTTTTTAATTTAATCTCACATTTATCATCCTCAAACGTAATATCTAAATTTTCTATAATCGGCAGTTGATTTTTTGTTACTGAAAATTATCGAAAAGAACTCGTATTTAACAATAGATTCATGGTTGCCACAGGTCAGGGAAAAATGTTTTAATTTGGAAATATTTTATAAAATTTCAATTTTGAATGAATTTAATTTGAAATTTTAAAGAACTCAGATTTTTGAAATATTTTAATAATAATTCAAAGTCTTCAGAAATTAGTTGATTTTTTAAAATATATATTTAATTAATTATTAAAAATAATGAATTTATAGAAGAATTTTAGTTAAAAACAGTACAAAAAGAATTGAATTTAGTAAAAGTTTTAAACTATATTTCAGAAATTCAATTATGTTCAAAAATTTAAAAAAATTCTTAACAAAATTTCAATATTACCCTAGCTTAAAAATAATAAAACTTTTCTCAGAAATTCAATTATGTTCAAAATTTTTTAAAAATTCTAGTCAAAATTACAATTATTTTTATAAATAATAAAATTCTTCGCAGAAATTCATTTATTTTCAAAAATTTTAATAAAATTCTTGACAAAATTCAATTATCTTTATAAATATAATAAAATTATACGCAGAAATTCATTTATGTTCAAAAATTTAACAGAAATTCAATTATTATTTTCAAAAATTTTCCTCAATTTATAATGACTTTCAATATTTACTATTTTAATAAAATTTTTCAAAAGAATTCAATTATTTAAAAAAATGTAATAAAATTCTACGCAAACATTGAATTATTTTCATAAATAATAAAAAAATTCACGGGAATTCAATTATTTACAAATTTTTTGATAAATTTCTTCACAACAATTCAATTATTTTCATATAAATAATACTTTTTTTTTACAAGGATTCAATTATTTTCGTATAAGTAATAAAATTCTATTTAATAATTCAATTATTTTTAGTACAATATTAATTGAATTCCTTTGAAAAATGCATTTATTCTTAAAATTTTTATTAAAATTCGTTAAAAGAATTTAATTTCAAGAAACATTTCAGTTATTGAATAAATTTTTTATTTTTATATTTAAATAATTGAATTCTCGTAGAATTCTTTCAATAAAAATTTATTTAAAAAAAAATTTTAGTCAAATTTTTGGATAATAAATAATTGAATATTAAAAGCATTATAGCATGAATTTTTAAAAATAATTAAATTTTGAAAAGGTTTTAATTTAAAATTTTGGAAAATTTGAATTTTTTATATTTTTATCTAACAATTATGTAGAATTAATTTTTTCAAAAAGTTTAATTGAATTTTCTCTAAAAACATTAGAAATAATTGAATTTTGAGGAAAAATTCAATTATTTTCAAAACTAATAAAATTTTTGGCAAACATGTTCAACAATATAAATAAATTCTTTTCGAAAATTCAATTATCTTTATAAATAACAATTAACAAAATTCTCCTCCAAACTTTAATTATTTTTGAAAATTTTAATAAAATTTTTAGAAAAAGTTCAATTATTTTCAAAAATAACAAAATTCATTTTATGATTTAAATTATTTTCATAAACAATAAAACTAATTGCAGATTTTCAATTATTTTTAATACAATGCAGTGTTAATCGAATTCCTCGAAAAATGTAATTATTCTTGAAAATTTTATTTATATTCGCAAAAAAATTCAAGAATTTAAACATTTTTTGATATAATTCTTTATTAAAATTCAATTTAAACATTTACCATTATGCGACGTCACACTTTTAAAACACATGCTTTGCACAAACTGTGACGTCATTATATGGTTCATATTCCCTTAAGAAACATTCAATTAATCAATAAATTATTTATTTTTTGTATTTAAATAATTTGAATTCTAGTATAATTTTTTTAAAAAAAATTGATTTAAAAATGAATTTTAGTTAAAAATTTTAGAAAATAATAATTTAATTGAAATGATAAAAATAATTTTGAAGGAGTTACAGTAACAATATTCTTATAATATTAAATAATGATTTTACCACTCGATCATCTTTAATTATAAGTTATTGAATTTTAAAAAGGTTTAAAATTTTTTGAAAATGTTAATATTATCATCAATAATAGAGTTATTTATAAATTTAATAAGGAGAGAAAATAAATCTATCTACCTTTCTCTGGTTTAACATCAATTATATCGGAAGTGTATATAACAGCACATTCATCAACATCATCACAAGTAGCAATTTGAATTTCGTATTTATTTCCTCGATCCAATTCAATTGTAAAGTTATTTGTAGCTTGTTTTAAATATTCGGTCCTATATATGTTTTTGCTAGGTGAGTTAATAATATTGATTTTGTATTTTACATTGGAGTTCTCAGGAATTTTTGTTTCAAAGTTAATTGTACAATGATTGTCTAGAAGAGTAATATTAAACCGATCTTTCTCACTTTCAGATGATCCACCTAAAAATAAAAAAAAGTAAACTTAGTTGTTAAGGAATTATTTTTGCGTTATTAAAAAAGAAAGAAAAAACTTTCCTTTTAAATATGATGCCAATCCTATTCCCCACACCAGAAGTGCTACAATTCCCCTGAAAAATTATACTTAATTTAAAATATGAAAAACGATTTTCAAAAAATGTAAATAATAATTAAAATTCCTTGAAAAAATGAAACGTTCCATTAATATATCAAAAAACATGGTACTGTAGGTGTATTTGATAGTTGATAACGAATGTAAGTCGGATTTGAAAAGTTCACAATGGCGGATCCAATATGGCGGACATAGAAATTTCAAATTTCCTATATTTCAATATAAAACGTGATATTTAGGAGTTTTATTTTTTATATATTATACTCATTATGTAAAATTTATTTATAATATTTATATATATTTATTTATTTCTGAAAACTGTAAATTCAATATCCGCAAAATTTTAAAACACTTTTGCATAACCTTGACTGTTGTTCGACAATCGTGAAGTTTATAAATGACGATAAATAAAAATTCAAGTAATAATTTATTATCTTTAGTATTAAAAAATGTATTATTTAAAGTTTAAAAAAATGTCAAGTTTCTAATGCCACGTAGGTAAATTTTTGCCAATATTTTTAGCAATTTAGGGAGCTGTAAAAAATTTATTAAAGGTGTTATTTTAAAAAAATCGAATATTTTTTTAGCATTTTCTTAAATTTACATCTATTGAAATGCATAACTAACTATTTATTATTGTTTAAAAGAATATTATACATAGGGGAGACTGGGGCGAAAAGTTAAACTGACAAAACCGTTAAAATTCATTATCTTTCGAACAAAAATAGTTAGAGCATTGCAATTTTAATTATAGAAGGGTGTTATCATCCTAAATAAATGTCCGGAGTTGTGTGCAATTCTGTTTATTTTTGTGGTGTCGATATTGAAAGTTTTTTTTCAACCTACTTTTGAAAATTTTTTCGAAAAAGAAAATATCAACTTTTAAGTATATTTTTTGAATTTATTCTCATCGCGATTTTTTTAGATCCTTATTTGGGTCCCCTGAAGAGATACCTAAAGGTATTTGCTAAATATCTTTAGTCAGATTTTTTATATTTGTTTTTAAAGCCAAAAACGCACCCTGGGGCGAAAAGTTAAATAATGGGTGGGGCGAAAAGTTAAATGTATTTTTACATGTTGTTAAAAATTTTTTTTTTATTTTTTGTTTTTTTGGGTTTATTTGTTTAAACATTATTTATTTGACATTGGGCAAGTACTCTGTCAAAAAATAAGACCGTTTACGTGAAATAAACCAAAAATTTTTTTTTTTTTTGAAATTTCAATTTTTTAACTTTACAACTATTCTAAAGCTTTTGTCAAATAAACAAAGATCTTTTATTTACTAAATTACTTGTTTACGTATACTTTAACTTATCTACTACTTATCACCTATCAGAAAATAGTTTTAGTAGGCTAAAAATAGAATTTAACTTTTCGCCCCAGCATGGGGCGAAAAGTTAAAAAAACAAAATTTTCAAAAAAGGACAAAACATGTATTCTTAGCAAAAATATCAGGAACTTTTTTATTGAAAGTTGTAGAGGACAAGTTGCCCTACAATATTGATTTACAAATATTTGCATCTAAGCGGCATATATTGCCAAAAAAAAATCATTTATGCAAAATTTAACTTTTCGCCCCAGTCTCCCCTATATATTTAATATTACATGAAAAAAAATACTTACAAACACTGTTTGAAGCTAACCATTTTCTAACTTCGAAGGAAGACGAGAGAAGGAAAATAAGAATTTTATTTATTAAACTTTTTCAAAAACTGGAATGTCACTTTCTATAGAAGAGTCAAATATGGCGTTCTGAAGAAACTATTCTGTAATTCTATATTGAACTTTGAAATTTTGAAATGCAGTTAAAATTTTAAATAGCAGTGAATTTTATTTGTAGTCAACCAATAGGAAATTTGCAACGCATTGATAAAAAAATTTATTATTCTGCAGGCAAAGCGCAAAGTTGACAAAAAAATAAAAGCAATGATAAATAATAAATTGTAAAATATAATAAATGAAAAATTTACAAAAAAATATAGCGGTTTCTGTAAAGTATAGTTGAAAATAAAAAAACAATGCATAATAAATGCCCATGTCGAAAAATTCCATGGAAGTACCCCTTAGAAATTCCATGCAATAAATTCTGTTTTAAATAAATATTTAATCATTATTATTATTCCATAGGAATTAAGATTTTCAAAAAATTTAAAATTCAAACCTTTATCAAATTCAACAACTTATAAGAATATTATTATAAAACATGAAGATATCAATATAATCACTCGGAGTCTTCGACTCGGTGTTATTGATATCTTCCCAGATAGCACGCAAGCTTGCTGCAAACTTGCAGCAAACTTGCACTGCAAGTTTTGCAAGATTGCAGTGCAAGCTTTCTGCAAGTTTGCAGCAAGCTTGAAATGTCTGAACTGCTGCAAACTTGTACTGCAAGCTTGCAGCAAGTTTGCACAGCAAGTTTGTAGAAAGCTTTCAGCAAACTTGCTGCAAGCTTGATGCAAAGTTGCAAAATTTTTTTGTATGCATAAAAAATTATGTTTTTTTACCCTTTTTTGCAAATATTTTTAATTTTATTGAATTTAAAAAAGGTACAAAAAGTAGAATTTTTTATGAATATATAAAAAAAATTTGCAACTTTGCAGCAAGATTGCAGCAAGTTTGCTGTGCAAACTTTCCACAAACTTGCTGTGCAAACTTGCTGCAAGCTTGCAGTGCAAGTTTGCAGCAGTCCAGACATTTCAAGCTTGCTGCAAACTTGCAGAAAGCTTGCACTGCAATCTTGCAAAACTTGCAAATTATTTACAAAAATTTTAATGAAATCCTCCCCAAGAATTCAATTATTTTTATAAAATAAAATTTTTCACATGAATTGAATTATTTAAAAAAAAAGGAATAAAATTCGTTCTAAGAATTCGATTAAAAGTGTATTAAAAATAATTGAAATGGAATGGAGTTTTATTATTCATGAAAATAATTGATTCTCGGTAAAAAATTTGTATTATTTACGAAAATAATTTAATGTTTGATTTAAATTTTATTAACACTTTTTTTAAATAATTAAAATTTTTTGAAAAATTTTATTATAAAATAGATATTGAAAATGATTGAATTGAGGAAAATTTTTGAAAATAATTGAAATTTTGTCTAAGAATTTTATTAAAATTTTTAAAAATATTTTAATTTTGGAGAAGAATTTTAATATTTTAAAAGATAATTGATTTTTTGACGTCCCAGTAAAAAAAATTCGATAGACGGACCGCGGAGTTCGTATACGAGCTCGGTAGCTCGTATGAGAAATATGAGAAATCTCTCATACGAGCCTTTTCCGTAATGAGAAGTGTATAGATGCTTGTATACGAGGTGACTTTTAAAGCATTTTTCTTAACATAACACTATTTTAAAGTAAATGTAGATAATAGAAATGAATTTTCAAAGTAAAACAAAGCTGAATTTATAAGGGAAATGAAGTTTTAAGAAAAAAAGAATAATTTTGTTCAAAAAATTTATTCACACTGAAAAAAGGTTTTGATAATTCCTTATTACTCTTACTTACCGACATTAGATATTTCTCGGATGCGGTAAGCACGATTTTGTATTAAATTTAATTATTTTATATAAAAACATTTATATAATAAATAAATAATAATATATTATTAATTAGTAATGAAAAAAACTTATTTATTCTACCGCTAATACAAAATCGTGCTTACTGCATCCGAGAAATATCTAATGTCGGTAACGAATACCAAAAATCAGACAGAAGGATTTTCAAAAATATCTAAAAAAAAAATTTTCCACAATTTTTTAATTTTTGAAAAAATTAATTTTTGGATTTTTTGAAATAACTTTTTTCTATATTAAAATTTTTATTAATTCTTGTCAAAATTGCATTCCTGACATAAAAACGAATCGATTCATGTATATAAAGTATATATTTTATCAAAATTTATAGAATTTTGTATTTTGTATTTTTTGACATTTTATCTTAACACTTTAAAATAATTATTCTAAAATAAAAAATTAAACGATTCGTATATATTATATTGAGGAAGCTTAATGATCATGAAATGAACAACTTGTTATATTAGTTTCAAAATAAATCTAATTCGGGATGAGGAAAAGTCAATGAGCCTACTAAATGTTGTGAAAGAATATTTTATTTAAGAACCAACTAAAGAAGAAAGACTTGACAATATTACAATATATGAGTAGTGTCGAAAAATATAATCTCACTTGAAGACGATTAGAATTTAGTTTTGAATTTTTGTTGCAAGGTTTTTTCAGATTCTCCTAAACTGTTAATAGTACTCAATTTAATTGTATAGTAAGTGCCAGGGATCAGATCTTTTAGCCATCTTTGAGTATAATTAGTATTTTGAAAAAAATCTTCATTTACAAAATTCATCTCTCCTTTTTTATAGCTCAATTTGTATTTTGTGTATTCGTTTTTACTGTTAGCCAGTGTCCAATTAAATCCACACGTTGAATTCGTAATGTTGAACACTGAAAGTGACAATGGCGCAGGAGGTAATTCTGAAAGTTAAAAAATTATTTTCGCATTGTCCAGGTGAAAAAATAAACTCTAAGTGAAATATTTGTAGTTCAAAAGTGATAATAGAATAAGTTTCAAATAAAATTTTCTTGGGTATACCTGTTGCAGAGACACTATTAAATTCAGGGAAAGTTTCAAAAGCAGAACATCTATTTTTTTCACAGGCAGTAATTTTTATCATGTATTTATTTTCTGCAAGTAAATAAATTGGAAGTGATTCTAAATCATGTGTTATGCTTCTATTTCTGTAAATTTTATTATTCGATGTATCTATAACATCAATTAAGTATGTTACATTAGAGTTTTCTGGAAATTTTTCTTTAAACGTAATAAGACAGTAATCATTCTCGAGTTTCATTTCAAACTTATCTGTCCTTCGTTCAGAAGATTTGCCTAAAAATAAAAAGAATGAACTCAACTTTTTTAGAACCAAATGTAATATTAAAAAAAGCAATTATAAAGTACCTTTGTTATTTCTTGTAAAAAAAAATACTGACAATCCTGTCCCTCCTATAAGAAATGCCGCTAATCCTCTGTAAAATTTAAAACTAGTTGCTGAAAAACATTTTTAGGGCGAAATTTTATCATGTGCCGCACCTGACTTCGCGTGTAGCCAATCAGCGCATGAGAGTTCCCCACTACCGAGCGACCCCCTCTTTCTACAGAGTAGAATATAAATAACGGCGCTCAGGTTGAAAACTTACATTAGTCGACGCTGTTTTACCGCACAGTGGGGCAAAAAACACGGCCTTGGACAAAACAACTTAGAGGCCGCAATTTTTAACCCTCCATCCGTCGCATGGTGAGAATTTCCCTCACCCAGTTTCTTTTTTTATTTATAACTTTTAAAATACAAAAAATTATAATTTCATATTCTCAGTACCTTTTACGGCACTCTTCTTCTTTACATTAAAACAATTTTGGTGTTTTTTTATATTTTAATTTCTTTGTTATTGAATTTGAAAGCAGCAAATGTCGGGGATTTTTGACGCGAAGTGAGGGAACTTCTCACCATGCGACTGACCGCGTATACTCGATTTCATTTGTCATTAATTTTTTATTTAAATAATTAACAGGAAATAAAAGTTAATTTTACTGCCAATAGGTTGTTTAGAAATTCTAATGAACATTCAAAAAAAATTTGGCATTTTAGAACAAGTTTGGACTAATTTATGAGGGTGAGAATTTCCCTCACCTGCGACGGATCGCGTTACAAAAAAAGGTGCGACGGATGGAGGGTTAACCAAATTTAACAAACTTTTGTTTTAATTAAAGCTAATTAAATTGCGCATCGATTCCTCGAGGCCGATTTTTAATAAATAATATTTGAAATTTTTTATTTGTTAATAAAAATTTAAAAAAAAAATTTTCAACAAGGGCTAATTTTTGTAAAATTTACTATATTTATTAGTAAACTAACTTAATTAATTAAGAAACTTCTCCTGAACATTTTCCAAAAATAGAATGTTAATTAAAAATTTTTCTTATTTGTTATAAACAATGTAATGCAGAAAAACTTTTTTGTGCAAATCTTTAATATTTTATTGTTTGCAAGTAATATTTATTTCTTACAAAGTATATTTAATAAGAAAACTTATTATAATACTAAAAATTAATAATAATTTGATATTATTTATTAACTTTTGTCATAAAAAATGATAAATATATAATTTTTTATGACCAATTGAAGCTTCTCTGCTGTTAAATAGTATTAGAATAAGTTAGCTTTTATTTCGTTATAAAGTAGAATAATTTAAAATTCACAACCTTATTGTTTAAATAATATTAATTATGCTCATTCCTTTTACAAAATATTTCTAGAAGAATTCGCTTAAAGTTAATGTTTCGTGAAACAACTTTAAAATATTATTCATTGTTTATAAATAATCTTAACTAATAAATACCAGATATTATTCATTTCTTTCATAATGAGTTTTTGCAAAACTATTTCCATGAAGTTAAAAATCAATTTAATCTGATATTAGTGAAATACTTTTATATGTAGTTATTTAGTAACAATTATTGTTAACAATTATTATTAAATTGTTACTAAATAACTACATATAAAAGTATTTCACTTATATCAGATTAAATTGATTAATATATATAATAATAATTGTTAACAATAATTGTTACTAAAAATAACTACATATAAAAGTATTTCACTAATATCAGATTAAATTGATTTTTAACTTCATGGAAATAGTTTTGCAAAAACTCATTATGAAAGAAATGAATAATATCTGGTATTTATTAGTTAAGATTATTTAGGTATAAACAATTAATAATATTTTAAAGTTGTTTCACGAAACATTAACTTTAAGCGAATTCTTCTAGAAATATTTTGTAAAAGGAATGAGCACTTTATGTGAAAAATTAACAAAGCTATCTATTTGTTAATTAATATTATTTAAACAATAACACGGAGAAAAAGGAATTGTTAAATCTACTAATTAATTGTTAATATAGAAATAGCAAATCTGATTTGTTGTTGCAACAATTTTTTTTGTTCTACAAACAAATTAATTGTTATCACAACAATTTTGATTTGTTACTAGAACAAAAAAACTGTTTCAACAACAAATCAGATTTGCTAGTTCTATATTAACAATTAATTAGTAGATTTAACAATTCCTTTTTCTCCGTGAAGGTTGTGAATTTTAAATTATTCTACTTTATAACGAAATAAAAGCTAACTTATTCTAATACTATTTAACAGCAGAGAAGTTTCAATTGGTCATAAAAAATTATATATAATTTATCATTTTTTTATATTTTTTATGACAAAAGTTAATAAATAATATCAAATTATTATATTATTATATTATATTATTAATTTTTAGTATTTTAATAAGTTTTCTTATTAAATATACTTTGTCAGAAATAAATATTACTTGTAAACAATAAAATATAAAAAATTTGCACAAAGAAGTTTTTCTGCATTAAATTGTTTATAACAAATAAGAAAGGTCGTGTTTTTTGCCTCCCTGGTTAAAAAACCGGACAGATTTCGGACTAATCCGAAATTTGTCCGAAACAATGCGGTTTATGGTCAGGTTTTTGTCACCCGCAATTAATACGAAAAAAAAAAAAAAAAAAAAATTCGAATTCTATACGGTTTGTGAACAACTAATGAAACGAGTTGGTCCGATGAAGTCCGAAATTAATCAGTTAACTTTAACTAGTGAATCCGGAATTAGTCCGAAACAGTCAAAAGTTAGTCCGGACAATTTAGTGAATGTTAATAAAAAAATAATTATACAAGTTACACATATTAATTATTATTACTTCGTGGTACATTCAACATACTTTTCGATTTACCTATATCGCAATTTTATTTACATTAACTTAAAATTTCAAACGCTTGGGGATTCGAACCTACACCTATCTAACATTATATCGCACCGAAATCGAATACACTAACCACTATACCACGCTCGCATGGAAGTTCAAATTCATAATAGAATTTATGAAGTGCCACGAAAAGAAATGACAAGAAACAAACACATCAGTGTTAATTTTAATATTGAAACAAGATAACTAATAATACCTACTAGTAAATTTGTAAAAACAAACTGACTGCAGAATTAAATATTTTATTTACCGTAAGTAAATACCCTGAATAAAAAGTGGGACCGATTTCAGACTAATCCGGAATTTGTCCGCAACAATGCGGTTTATTGTGGAGTTTTTTCACCATGAATTAAGTTTTAAATCAATACCGTTTTTTATAACTATGGAATACGTAATTAGTCCGGTTTAGTTTGCAGTTAATTAGATCATATGCAACTAGTAAATGCAGAAGTAATCCGGTTGGTTTAACCAGTGAATCCGCAGCTAATCCGAAACAGTCTGCTTATGGACAGGTTTTTGTCGCTCGGAATTTGTCCGGATAAATTCAAACTCAATGCGGTTTGTGTATAACCAGTGAATCCGGAATTAGTCCGAAGTTAGTCTGATAATACCGAGGGGGTATTTTCTAAGAAAAATGGTGTACACAGTAATCCCTATTACGCACATTACGGCTAATACATGACTAATACGCCTATTACGCTAGTATTACGCCAATACGTTATATTACCCGACTATTACGCTATATTACAGGAATATTACACAATATTACAGGTGTAATTCTGAGTATTTTGGATGAAAACTTAGTCAATAGATTGTGAACAAACCTCACAAAATATTTGTATAATTTTTTTTTAAATTGATCTTTGACTTTATTTGATATAATGAAAAAATTTAGAATGTCGTAGTGCGTATATTTTATTATATAATAAATATTTTTGAAAGTAATGCAAGTGCTGGTATTACCGTGGTGCACAAAGCTTCATGATCGGAATACCGTGTGCCTTATACCGCGAAAATTTCAACTTTTAGAATTCGCAAACGGTTGAATGAAATTAAGCAAATTTAAAACAATGGTTTATTAATTTAACAATAAATATTCTTATATTTTAGCAGATACTAATAATAATCACAGAATTCGTTATAAATCTATTAATAACTTTATTTAGTGCCTTTATTTAGTACATATACATACCTAATAATATTTAATTAAATATTTTTTATATAAAACTGTATTTTTGCATTACAATGAGCAATTTATCAAACTTTCCGCACCTACAAAATTTAGAATTTTTTAAAACGAGAAATTTAAGTTAAATAACAATAATTTTTTATTTATTAAACACATACAATAAGAAAGTAACTATCTGAATTTTTTGATTAACAAATTGGAATATAAATGGTAAAATTTGACAAAAATAGCGAAACCACGGTAACTCACGCACCCACGGTAATACCCACACTTACCCTAATATTTGCTTTAAATAAATAAATAATGCACATGAAACGAAATGAAAATTTTTCATTAATTTACAAGAATAAAAAATTATAAAGCAAACGAGAACATTGTTTTAAATCATGAAACACTTGAAGCATTTAAAATCGAGTTTAATGTACATAGTAACTTAAAATTATTTTCCTCTATTTGAGGGCGTGGTATACTGTACAAATATAATTTTTAATATCATAGTACCCATGAACATCCATATTTATAAGAGTCAAATTTCTATGTTTGACAATGTAGTTAAATAATTATTTGATAAATTAAACTATGCAAATAACAATACTATTACGCGACTATTACACGATATTACTTACTATTACACAGCTATTACTCGGTAATACGCTATATTACTGACTATTACGCACCATTACGCACTATTACGGGTATTACATAGCTTTACCGGGAATGTGTACACTCCAATACGCAAGAAAATACCCCCTTTTGGATAATACACAACTTGGAAATGTGAAATTATTAAATCCGGAATTAATCTAGTTTTGGTCAGGTTTTTGTCCTACGAAATTATAATTATAGTTTGAATTTATCTGCATTTAATACAAATTGTTTTTAATATATTAATTCAATATTATAACAAAATCATTGCGGATTAAGTCTTTGAATTGGATTGAATATGGATTGTTTTGAACTGTCTGTGGATTGTACATATTTACAAATTCTTATAATAATAAGACTTATTTTCGGACTGGGGTCTTTTGATCGGATATTATTCGGATTGATCCTGACTATTACCGAATTCTTTGCATACAAATTTCGGATTGTTCTATACTTGTTTCGGATTAAATCTTTTAACTGGATTAAATTTGGATTATTGCGGACTAATTTCGTATTCTTTACATATTGATTTCGGATTATTTCGTATTTGTTTCGGATTATACCTTTTAATTGGATTAAATCCGGATTGTTGCAGACCATTTTCGGATTCTTAGCATACAGATTTCGGATTGTTTCGTACTTCTTTCGGAATAGGATTTTGCCACACTTAGTTTCAAATTGTTGCGGAATAATACCGGATTTCTTGCTTACAGAGTTCGAATTGCTCCGGACATTTTGCGGATTAAGTTTTTTTAACTAGATTAAACTCGGATTGTTGCGGACTGATTCCGTATTCTTTACACATTGATTTCGGATAATTCCGTACTTATTTTAGAAGAATTCTTCACCGGTCATAAATTCGGATTGTTGCGGACTAATTACGGACTGAATTCGTAGACATTCAGGATTACTCTGGAGTGTTTTCGGATTCAGGTTTTCGTTCGGATTGATATCAGACTAGCGCGGATCATTTTCGGAACTTTTTCGTACAATTTTCGGACTAATCCGTACTAATGTGTCCGTATTTAATCTGGAATTAGTCCAAAATTTTTACCAGGGCTCACTGTGTACTGCGTTAACGTCATGTCTTAGCTAAAGTGGTATTCTAACAACCATTAGGTTCTCGCCTGCTCAATTTTTTAGAAAAACAGGGACAAAGAATTTAATTCTTTAAATTTTTTAAAAAACTAATGTCCACGCTTTTAAGTCACTTTAAGGTTTTATCTACCTCGATTGTAATTGTCCAACTAATTTATAAATAGAATCCCATAAACAAATTTAAATAAATATTAATGAATAAACAAGAGTTTTAAAAAAAGTACTCACAAAAATTTGTGCAATTTCATTGCTGACCTTGGTTGAAAAAGTGTAAAAACAAACAGTTTATTTATTAAGGAATATATTTTTTCAAACAAAAATGACACTTTATAGAAGTGTTAAAAAAAATCCTTCTGTAATTCTATATAAAACTTTGCAATGTTTAAATACTTAAAACACGAAACATGAATAAAATTTATTTACAGTAAGCCTATAAAAAATGTATAATCTAATTATTACGTTGTCATTGTTGATAGCAAAGTAAAATACGAAAAAGAAGCCTGAAGAACCTAGAAAAAAAAATTATTTCTGATAAGTATTTTTTTTAATATTCAAAATTTTATCATTCTCGACAGTTATTATTAAGAAAATTTCTTTCTTTTGGTAAAATACTACATTTTAAGGAAGGAAAATTAAAAAACAAAATGAGTAAATTTAAAATAAAGGAACATAAATTTGGAAAACAAAAACATGTCATAGTACGAAAAAAAGGATTTCAAAATTATTGAAATTATATTCTCACCGAACAAACACTTCTCAGTGATAAATCTAACATTTTGCCAGCAGTTAATTTACAGGGATTTCGGCTTCTCATCATAATTAGTAATAAAAGTTTTCTTAATTTCACTGGCATTTGATGCCATGAGCTATCGTATCTGTTAATAAACAAGACATTAATTTTATTTAAATATTTAAGAACAATTATTTTAATATAGAATTTATTTGTAAAAAAAATGTTGCTGAACGGTACTAAAAATTGTACTGAAAATTAAATACTTTGTTAAATTTTAATTTATTGTATATAATTACAAATTATTTACGAGACCAGCACTAGAATCCATTAATCTTTGTGCGGGGAGACTGTTCAAAAATAAATGAGCAATGGAAGCACCAGTAAATGCTCCAAATCTTACGGCAATATCAAATTTATTGAGATTTACAACAACCTATAATATAAATTTTCTTTTTTAATAATTTAGTACTAGTAAACAAATTTACATGACCCCTTAAAATTTACATTTACTATTAAAAATTTTTAAATTCCAGTATTATTTGCAGAGAAATTTAAAAAAAAATTCCAACCTGAATTAAAGAAGCAGAAATTAAAATTGTATTCAATCCCATTATGAAAAAGAAGCAAGGACTGAAAAGAGATTCGATGATACTGCAAAATCTAATTTAATTTTTTTGTTAATAATAATTATACTTATAACTTAAATAAAAAGATTCTAAATAATTGCCTAATTATAAACTAAAGTACTCCTTTCTATGTAACTAATTACATTTTTGCATGAAAATGAAGATTTTGAATATACGAACTCAATAGCTCGATTATGTTGTTCAATGCAAAAAATCACTGTCCTCAAATTTTTCCTCTCACTCTCATGGTTATTAATTTTTTTTAATTGCACACTAAAAGAGAAAACAAATTTTTATAACATAAATTAAAAACAAATTTAAAAAAATTTACCCATATGAATTTAAAAAAAAAAATTTTAAACAATTGTCTTGCAAAAATAAATTTAAAAAAATTGGTAATTTACCCAATTATTTTAAATAGTGCACAAGCATGTTCGGTAAATACTGCCAAAATCGATTCAGAACCAATGAGAATACACATTTCCAATACAGCATTAAATGAAATATGAAGCATAATCCAATAAAAATAATCCTCGGAATAATTTACAAAATAATACATTTGAAATGGCAATTTTTTCGGACGCGTTTCATTTAGAGGTAAAACAATATCGAGAAATTGTGGTATCACTGCCATTATTAAATAAGTCAATAAAGTTCCCGATATGCATCCTAAAATTTTTATACTTTAAAGAAAAAATTTTAAGTATAAAAAATTTTCTATTTCTCACATTACGAAAAATTTTATAAATTACTAATAAAAATAATTATCCTTTTTTTTAATACCCGTATAAAAAATAGTATAAATCCTTCCATGACTTGCGTGACTCAAAATAATTAATCGCTCACGATCAGAAGTCCAAAATTCCCAATCACGTTTAATTTCGTAAAAAAGTTGACTTAGCTTTAAAGAAAAAAAAATTATTTTATATTAATAGACAGAAGGATAAAAAGAATGAATCGATCTTCAAAAAATCTCACCTTTTTTTGTTTCGACAAATAAATAATACAATAAACCAAACAACCAATTCCTGTAAATATTGTTGGAAGGCATTCTATCATTTTATCCGAATCGCCCCATACTTTTAAAAAACCAGATATCTAGTAAGAAAAAAATTTCCCATTAATTTTAATTAAAAAGGAATAAATTACTTTGAAAAAAACTAAAAATTCTTAAATTCCCAACGTTTATGAAATTTTACAATAAAATTTTACTTTTAACCCAATTAATTTAAAGTAAGAAACTCTAAATAATTATTATTTCTAATATTAAAGTTTGTTTTATAATTATAAGCATATTTTAAAACAAGAAGAAACTTTATTTTATATCAATTCTAATTTAATTATACCGTAGTGATTAAACAAATTAAAAGCGCAATAATAATGAAACATTGAATTGCAAAATTTCGCCATAAGCTGTGAAATGGCCATTGTCCAATGCAAGATAAGAAAAATTTATTTATATAAAAATAACGATTGTCAAAGAAATCAGACATTTCTCAGTTAAATTAATGTCAATACAAGACTGACGAGATTTTATGATTTGAAGGTAAAAAAACTACCACAACCTATCGAGAGGGGTGAAAATTTTATTTATTCATATCAAACCCTTTGGTAGATATTCACAATACGGCTTTATTCAATTTCTTCTCTTGAATGAATGATAAATTTTAAATGGAATTTTCAACGAAAGAAAATTGCCTCTGATTGTCTCTTAGAAAGTCTGCCAGAGAACGATTATTATTTTCATAGTAATCATTTCCATGGAACTCGTGCCTCTACATGTATATAGATTCTGACAAACTTTATTCACCTCCTGAGACCATTAGTCGTTTATCATTCTTCAAACAGATAACATATCATTTATTTTATAATGTAACGTTTGTTTACTATTCTTGCTTATTTTATTACTTTTCTCTTAGTTTTATTTTTTTTATTAATTTTAGATTTTTATTCATTTTTGAATAGTTAATTTTATTTAACGAAATATTGTTAAATAAACTCAATTGACAATAAGGTTCATTGATAAATTTTTTACACTGTATTAATTTATTAAATTTTGGATGTGGACACTAACGTGATTTGTCAAGTTCCAACGTCAAAATGAGAATGAATTAAATGCCCGACCTGTCCCAGCGCTTTTCTTTTTCATAGTGAGTCCCAAGTGAATTACTTATTAAATTACAGATTTTAGTTATCCGCGGTCGGTAAAACAGAACACTAATTTCTTCAACCAAGAAAAGGAAAATTCTCTAGGTTTTTATTAACATTCAGAAATATTTTTATACAAAATAATTGTAAATTATCTTATTTAATTTGTGTTTTAATTACAATTGATAATATTTAAATAATTAAATTATTAATTAATTAAATTATTAAAATACTTCCTGGAAATTGTAGATTCGTTTATAACTGCGGAAGAGTCATCATGTTCTAATTGAGGAAAGTAGAGTAAAGTATGAAAACGACGTTTGAAGAATCTGTAAGAAAATAAAATATTGTTATAATAATTTTTTTTCAATTGCAAAAAAGAGAAAATAAAATTAAAATACGACTCTAACCTTACAAAAAGTTTTCAGTGACATAACGCAAATATTGCCGGCAGTTAATGTACACGGAGCGGTAGTTCTTATAAATATCATTGACAACAATTTTTTCGGTTTCAATGGCAACTGATACCAAAATCCATCGTACCTGTTAATGGGAATAATTTCTAAATAATAATTTAAAAAAAAAATTTTAATTTTAATTAAATAAGAAATTAAATAAATTAAAAAAAATATACATGAGATCGGCTAGAAAAACACTATTATCCATTAGACGTTGTGCTGGTAAACTATTGAAATAGAGATGAATAATTAGGGCAATAGAAAATGTTGCAAATTTTACAGCATCATTTAATTTATTCATATTGACAACAACCTATAATAAGAAGAAATTAGTAATTGTGTCGAAATTTATTTTGAAAAGATAAATTCCTTTTTACTTGTAATAAAGTGGCACTGATAATAACAGAGTTTAGTCCCATTGTAAAGAAAAAACAAATTGAAAAACAAGATTCGATTGTATCGCAAAATCTGTAAAAACAATTACACATAAAAATTTTATTGTAAAATAAAAAAAATGTTGTTTTTTTCCAAATATACAAACTCAATAGCTCGATTATGTTGTTCAATACAAAGTGTTATTATTTTATAAGTTGCCTCTTCTGCATCTTCTTTAGAATTCGTTTTAGAATTATAAACATTTTTTATAGTTTTTAGACGATACCTGCAGAAAATAGATTTTTTTATAAACTATTTTTTTCAATTCAGCCATAAATATATTTTTTTTTTAAAATAACAATTTTTTCGTCTCTTTTATTATTATAATTACCCAACTATTTTAAATAATCCACAGGCGTGTTCGGTGAAAACGGCAAATATTGATTCGGATGCAATGAGAACGAACATTTCAATGGTTGCAGTTATAAAAACATGAAGTTCAATCCAATAAAAATATTCATTTTTATCGACAAAATACTCTAATGGAAATGGCAATTTTCTTGGTCGAGTTTGATTCAGTGGTAAGATAATATTTAAAATTTGTGGTGTCAATGTCATTGCAGCGTAAGTTATCGTCGTTCCTGTCACGCATCCTAACACATTCAAATGGAAAATTATAAATAGCCGATCCAATATGGCGGAAGAAGTCGAAGTTAAATTAATAAATAATAATAATTAACAAAAAACTGTATTATTGTTAATAGTAGTATTAAAAAATAAAAATTTGTATTAAAAAATACGTACCAGCATAAAGTATTGTATAACTTCTTCCATGCTCTGCATGACTCGTAAGAATAGCGTTTTCATCACCAAATGACCAAACTTGCCAATCACTTTTTATTCTTTCAAGAAGAATCTTTAACTGTCAGTACATATTGATAATAGAAGATTAATAGGTAAGAAAAAATTTCTTTCGTAAGTACAGTGCTAAATTTAAGGGGTTACGCCACTGTAATAATTATAATAATTCAATATATTTTAATTGTTTAAATACTGAAATATAAAAAAAAATTCGAATGTTTAAATTTTCGCGCACTTTTTGAATATATGAAGATGGCGCGCTGGGCCAAACCAGCAGACGACGAGTCAAGATACGTCGGACTCAAGGTCGACAACATTGGTAAAAAAAAATTGTTAATACACCTAAAAAATTGTTAAGTCACTCCTACAGAGGCCTAACCCCTCATTAATAAAGGACGTATTTTTTCTTAACCTAAAAAATAATTTTTCAAGAATTTCGAACGTTACGAACATCTTGAGATTCAATATGGAGATGGTATTCTTCACCTGCGAACGCCAAGGTCACCGCTGAATGGCAGTTCAGTTTATAAAATCAGATTTCACGCCAGCGCCACCTAGCAATGATCTCGGCGTTCTCAAGTGGAAAAATTAAACCCCAATTTTATCAAAAAAAAATTGTTTCAGTTAAAAAATATAATTTTGAGAATAAGTTAATTTTTCTCACAATTTAAATTAATTACAACAAAATTAAATTAGAATTCGACTTACTGGAATTAAAATAATTTCCCTTTTCTTACACTGGGAAAGTATTTGAAAAAAAATAATTTCGTTTTATTTCAAAATAATAAATAATAAAATACTAAATTACGAAAAAAATAATAATTCAATTAAAATGGATGAATATATATATATATGTACTTTCAGTTGAATATACATATGTGACGCTCCACGAGAAAAGGGACCTTATTTACTCTTGTCATAAGGTCCCTTTTCTCGTGGAGCGTCACATATGGATATAAATAATTGCCTTGCAGTTAAAATGGATAAATAATTGTTTAAAAAAATAAATTATAGAGGAGTGTAAGGTATGGTGGCGGACACTTTCTTTTTTGCGTCTCTCTCTCTCTCAAAAAACAATATTTTTCAAAATTTCAAAAGCAGGCAGTTGCTGACATCTATTAAGCATATTTCTGTCAGAAGCGTCTGCTAAAATTTAAATTCAGTGAAATTTTACAGCTCTTGGCGCAAAAAACTGATTTTTTTTATTTTTGAAAGTTGTAAGGTATGGTGGCGCATTTGGTGTATTTAACTAAAATATTATGTAGATGTTAAAATTATTTATTAAAACTACTAGAAATGATGAAAAATAACAAAAAGAGAAAAAACTGATGATTTTACATTATAGAAAAAAAAGTTTCACTTCCCAGTAAAAAAAAACTAATTCAAATGAATTGAAACGAATTAACATTTTTGGTAGGCTCCAATTCGTATTTGTCACAAAGCGGGATTCACTCAAGCTCTTTGTATATTCAATTGAATTTAATTCAATATGTACCAATTTGTCCAAACGAATTCGCATTCGAAAGAAATGGCCAAGGAATGCATTGAATTCGTGCTAACGAATTGAAAAAAATTAAAGGCTCAAAACTTGTCCAGTGAATTGGTACGGATAGAAGGTTCGGAAGTTCAATACAGTTTCACGAATTCAGGAAAATTGCATCATGGCTCCAATTCGTATTTGTCACAAAGCGGGATTCACGAAAGCTCTTTGTGAATTCTTTTTAATTCATTTCAATTAGTTTTCGTTTACTGGGTTCAGTTATGGTTACAATTTGGACATGTGAAGTAGCTGGTGGCTGTTTTAACGCAACTAGAATAAGAGAAGACCGCAAGTGTCACATATTCGAGAATTGTTGCGTTGGAGCACATGAGGCATTAGTACACAAAAAATGCAAAGACACCCAGTGAGAAATTTCTCACCGGTCCAATATCGGTCCAATATTGGGAGCCAAGAGACCGATCATCGGTCCAATAAAGGCTCCCAATATTGGACCAATATGGGCTGATGCTTGGGATGTAACGGCATCGCCAATCATCGGTTGTCAATATTGGTCCAATATTGGCCGAATATTGGCAACCAAGAGAAAAAAATTTTTTTAATTAAATAATAATAATAAAAAATTAATGTTTATAATTTTTGTTTAATATATTTATTTGTTTAATTATTTATTTTTAATAATTCATGTAAATAATAAATAATTTATTATTTATAAATTATAATAATTTAAAAATGCAGCAGCTATTAGAAAATAGCATTCTGCAAAAAAATTCTATCATTGAAAAATCAATGATAGGCGAGAGAAATCCGCGTCTTTAAATAGATTCGCAGATGATAGACAAGAGATATCCGCGTCATTAAACGGATTCGCAGATATACTCTGGTCTCGCGACGAATCTCTCGATACTTATATACACTGGAGTCGCCGTGTCAGTTGCGAGAACGGTTACAGCGTCCCTCTTGCGGCGGAGATAAGAATTGTCACGTAAACTGCGGGTATAATAAGGCGGTCGGTAAAGCGATTTAGCAGTTTACGTGACAATTCTTATCTCTCCCGCAAGAGGGACGCTGTAACCGTTCTCGCAACTGACACGGCGACTCCAGTGTATATAAGTATCGAGAGATTCGTCGCGAGACCAGAGTATATCTGCGAATCCGTTTAATGACGCGGATATCTCTTGTCTATCATCTGCGAATCTATTTAAAGACGCGGATTTCTCTCGCCTATCATTGATTTTTCAATGATAGAATTTTTTTGCAGAATGCTATTTTCTAATAGCTGCTGCATTTTTAAATATTTATAATTTATAAATAATAAATTATTTATTATTTACATGAATTATTAAAAATAAATAATTAAACAAATAAATATATTAAACAAAAATTATAAACATTAATTTTTTATTATTATTATTTAATTAAAAAAAATTTATTTAAAAAAATTTTTTTCTCTTGGTTGCCAATATTCGGCCAATATTGGACCAATATTGACAACCGATGATTGGCGATGCCGTTACATCCCAAGCATCAGCCCATATTGGTCCAATATTGGGAGTCAATCGGCGCCCAGCACGGCAACCAATATTGGACCGATATTGGACCGATTAAAGTCTATTGGCAATTTCTCACTGGGCAATTGCAACTCGTGCAAAAAATGATCCGCCACTGTGCGTTACAAAAATTGCGCCATCATACCTTACAAGCTATTGATGAAAATATGATGGTGTTACTTTCATACAGCGCGAATTGAGAAAAATGTAAAATACAAAAAACTGTTGTCCAAGGTCTAAACAATGCGTTCCATACATTTACCAGACTCAATTTTCAAAAAATCTTCACTCTGGCACTGTTAACACACATATCCAATAAAACTTTTCTTCTTTTTCTCACTACTTTTTTATTCAAAATCACTTAAAGTACAAAGCACGCGTTTGATCATTAATACTACTGCATATAAAATGTCATCACGATAAAAGACATCGACCATAGTGATAAGGCGCTTCAGATGTGACGTTACATGCCAGATTTGACAAGTCCGCCAACATACCTTTACACGCCACGATACCTTACATTCCCCTATATTTATTTTTTTATAAAATAAAAAAATCTTAAAATTATTTTCTATCAAAATGGAGAATCATTTAAAAAAAACATTTTTACAAATAATTACTTTTTCCTCTTTGCATATATAAGCGAATGTGTAAGTGAGACATCCAATAGCTGTAAAAATTGGTGGAAGACATTCTATCATTTGATCCACATTGCCCCAAACTGATATTAAACCAGACACCTTTTATTCAGTTAATAATATTTATTAATTATATTAAATTATTAATAAATATTCTTAATAATTATAATGTTATCAAATTCATTATATTTCTATTTAATTTAATTTGCTACCATTGCTATATATACTATTACTTTTATTTATTTTTTGTTATTATTATTATTATTATTATTATTATTGCTATTATTATTTTTATTGTTACTAATATTATATTCCGCGTGGAAACGTAAAAATGAGAAATTCCAGCTAACAGGTGTATTCCACGTCAGTTCAACACAAAAAATTTTACTAGATTTTGGGATTCGGTTGAAATTTATCCTCTGGTGGCAATAAATAAAATCCCCAAGCGATTTTAAAAAATTTCAAAAAGTGACGGATATATTGGATTTTCAATTTTTTTATACTCTTTTTTTGAAAATTATATATCTTTGGTTATCCTTAACAGATTTTATTTTTGACCTCTTAAATTGTTCGTATTGAAATATATTTTTATTTAAAAAATTATTTAAATTAATTGTTTAAACAATTAATTAGTTGTTTAAACAAGTAGTTTTTGAGAAAAAAAAAATGAAACGTAAATCCGAGCACTTTCCTCTGTAGCTTGAGTATACGCACATTTTTGTTTGCGCGGTCGCGTAAACAAAAACGAATCTATTCTCATCTGTCATCCTCAGTCGTGATAATTAATTTGTCAAATTCGGAAGCTACCATGTCCACTTTTGAAATGTAAAAAGAAGAAAATGATTTTTCTTTTCAATTGTCCTACGATGAAAATTTCTGGACAAGTTCAACACATTTATGGCTACAAATGGTAAAAAAATGATTAAAGTTGAAGGTAGCATATTTTTACCATGGCTTTTCAAAAAATTAAATTAATTGTTTAAACAATTAATTTAAATAAATTTTTTAACTTTAATTTTTTAAATAAAAATATATTTCAATACGACCAATTTAAGAGGTCACAAACTAAAATACGTTAAGGAGAACCATAAATATATAATTTTCAAAAAAACAGTACAAAAAAATTAAAAATCCAATACGTCTGTCATCACTTTTTGAAATTTTTTAAAATCGCTTGAGGATTTTATTTATTGCCACCAGAGGATACAATCTACCCAAATTCAACCGAATTCCAAAACCTAGTAAAATTTTTTGTGTTGAACTTGACGTGGAATACACCAACAGTGAAAAAAAATTTAAACCCACAAAATTTATATATTCTGACTATGGTAAAAAATTAGTAAACCATGGCCAACGACAAAAATAGTTTAAAACCTGAAAAATTAAATATTTTACTCATAGCCACATTCTTGGGTCGTAAACTATTTTTGCCCTAGGTCATGGTTTGCTAAATTTTGGAAATGGTAAAAATATGAAAATTTTTGTCTTAGGCTATTAGTGAGAATTTGCCATTTTTCCGTTTCCACGCGGTTTATTATTCATATTTTCATTTTATCTATATTTTTTATTATAAAAACTTGTTTTAAAAAGTATAAAAATTTGTTTATAAAATAAAAAAATGTTAAACTAAATTAAAAACACTAGTTTATACTTTATAACCATTTTGTACATTCTTTGCCACTTTTTTTTTTCTTGTGTATTTTGCTCTGCTGAACATAAAAATCACAAGAAAAAAACTTTTTATTGATATAAGTTAATTTCGAAAAAAATGTTTAAAATAAAAAAAATAAATAAAGTAACAAAAAATATTTTTTTGTGATCAGCAGAGTAAAATACACAAGAAAAAAATAGTGGCAACAAATGTACAAAAAAATTTTTTTTCAGTTATAAACGATAGTGTAATTGATAAAATTTATTTTTATTTATTTTATTAATTACACTAAAGTATATAAATAAAAAAAAATTTAGTTAAATTTTGAAAAAAGAGTAAATATAAAAATTTTTTTTTTCGTAAAAAAGAAGAAATTTACTGAAGGTAATAAACATGAGAATAATGCAATAGTGACAAGGAATTGTGTGCAACGTTTTCGTGATAATGAAAGATACGGCCACTGTCCAATGACATAGAGAAAAAATTTATTGATCTGAAAATAAGGTCCGTCAAAGAAATCCATTTCTTGATTTATAATCTGAACACTATATAATATTTGTTTTGTCCTATTCTCACTGACCAGTCGTTTACACTTTATTTTCTATAGTTCCCCCTTTTCCACCTTCTCTTCTTCTTATTTTTCTTTTTTCTCTTCTCTTCTCTACTTCTTCTTCTTAGTAATTCAATTGTCGCGTATAATTTATTCACAATGCGTGTCTTATTTTATTTAAACATGATGATGGAAAGACAAGAAATCATTATTCTAGTTGTTAATATGTATATAGAGAGAGAAAGAGAGGAAAATGTATATATTTTTCTTTGGAAATTAATTTCGATGATTCAATGCGACAAGTGTAGCTCGCTATAAGATAATTTGAGAGTTAAAAATCTTGGAAACAAATTATATTTTATTTACTATTTTTCTTTCATTTCTGGGTAATAATTTTTGTACGCGTATATATTTCAGATGTCAAGAAGTCAAGTGTCTTTTCATCATTTCATATAAGAGAAATTAAACTTCATGTAATGTCTTGCAAAATGAAATTGAAAATCAACATAGAAAAAAAGGGGAGAACAGTTTTTCAAATTGGAAATTTATCAATAACAGCTTTTTCTTCAATTTTTTTATTAATTTAGTTTAAGTAATTTATTCATTATTAATTAATTTCTTTTTTTAATTAATTAATTTATTTATTTAAAGTTTGGACGGAAAAAAAAGTCCTTAACAAAAGAGATCTTATAATCTAAAGAAAAATTACAAAAGAAATAAATCACAATACTGGCCGAATAAGTAATAGAAATTAAATCAAATGAGAAAATCGTCTTTTTAAGATCACTGATAAATTTGTTCTCATTTGAGTCGAAAAAAATCAATGCAATCGGAATAATTGTTGGCCTCCACACTAATTTTTGAAAAAACTGAATTAGCGGCATAATATTACAGCGGTGATGTTGTTCATAAAAAGGTAAATAATTACGCAATCTCCTGGTAAGCACATAAAAGTTAATTATTAACTTAATTTATTATTATTATTAATTAATTAACTCATTTTTATTGTCTTTTATTAATTTTTCAAATTTTTCTTTTCTTTATAATTATTATTTTTTTATTCATTGAATTATTTTTTAGATACTGCCTTTTATTGACCTAATTTTGCAAATAAATGATTATTTTTAATATAATTTTTTTACTTATTTATTATAAATTATAATTAATTTATTTTATCGTTTATTTCTTTTTTTTATATTTTACTTGGAAAGTTTTCATTTATTTTTTTTTACAAATTTAAAAAGGACGAAAAAAAATTATTGAGAAAATACGTGAAAAATATTTGTGATGAGCGATTTTTTAAAAGGCACTAGAAACATAAAACTAAAGGTCATTTCAGTATTTGACCTGGATATCCGTTGATTGTAGGTAAATTTTATTTTTATTTTTTTTACAATTTCTTTTCCCACGTCTACGTGTGATATCATCATCGATCAAATTACAACAAATTCACTTATTTCCTGATTTTTCATCGTATAAAATGTTTTCATTTATTCTTCACACACCTGACACTATACTTTTTATTTCTAATATTAACAAAAAAAATTTCAATTTTCTTTATTCATATAAATTTTATTATTTATTTTATTTCATTACTTGAAATTTACTAAAATTATTTATTTAATATTTTATTTTTCTATTTAATTAGTTATTTATTATTTTATTATAATATTAATAAAAATAATTTAAGAAAATTAATTTATGAAAAATATATTGTAATTTTTCAATTTAGGAAAATTTATTTTATAAATCGAAAAATTTAAATAATTTTTCATTAATTTTATTATTGAATTCAATACATGAAATTTTACAATTTTAAAAATTATTCCAAATACAAGAATACATTTTACTTATTGATATTTTATTTATTATTATTTTTATTATTAGTAGGTATTATTATTTTTTGATTGTTATTTATTAATATTTTTTATTATTTATTTATTGTTTATTTATTTTATAATATAAACTAGATTTTGTTCTTTCGTAATTATTTATTTATTCACGGGACAAGTATTTATTATTGTTATTTTTTTAATTGTTAATTATTATTTTCCCCAAATAAAAATATTATTTCTGTTTTAAATATATTTTTCATTTAAAATTTTTTATTTTAAAAATAATAATGTGAAAAGAATTCCTTTATTTTTTTATTAGGAAATAAATAAAAATAAAAGTTACATTTCACTGGAAAAACAGAAAAAAGAGAAGTGAAATTTTTTTTTTGTAAAATTATCCGAGTTTTGTGAGAATGAGCGAAATATATATATATATATATATATATATATATATATATATATATATATATATGAATACGTGGGAGTATGTGGAGTAATTTTAGTCTAGTCCGTCCAATTGACTATACCACCCTAAGCGTCGACCAATGGGAATAAATTTTCCACCCTCAATCCTCATGTTTCCCTGATACTCTCTTAGTCGCATATGTAGAGGGAGTCGCAAGTTTAGATGATTAGAATGTTTAGAAAGTGACAAAAAATATATTTTAAAAATTTGAGGAAAACAAAATGTGAAAAATAAAATTGAGTGTAACATTAAATTATAAAAGAAAAGAATATATATATACGTAAAATGATTTTCACTTCTTTTGAATTTTCCTTCTTTCGACTCTCATTCGCTATCCCTCCGCTTGAGCTTGCGAGCTTGCAAAACCCAACCCCTATTATATGGATTCTCCTACGATAACTGGGTCGAGCTATGCTTTCCTAGTACGTAAAGTTGCCTATTCGAGAACTTTGTTGTCGTGAGGCAGCAAATTCAAATATGGTGTTGGAATATATTTAAAGACAAAAAATTTTTTATTAAATGAATTAATAAAAAATAAAAATTATTTATTTACTTACTTATCTACTTATATATTTACATATATGTATTTATTCATTTACGTATTAACAGGTTTACTTATTTGTTTATTTATTTACTTATTTACATATTTACTTAATTACTTGTTTACACTTATTGAGTTATTTAATTATTTATTTACTTTTTTATTTATTTGTAACGCGCTCTCATGAAAAGTACCTAGAAAGCAAACAGATTATAGGTTATGATTGTTTTAGTTTTATCTTTATTAAAAAGTTTCTTTTTAAATTGTGTAAATTTAAAACCAGTTTTTATTAAAATTTTGAATGTATGTTACGAAAACTTGAACATCAATAATTTGTAATAGTAATTGATTCTCTTTTCTGTATTTTTACTAAAAAAATTATAAACATAAGCTAAAGTTGATTATAAATGCTTCTATTATACCCAATGGGAAATTTACAACTGGCGTAGTACTGCGCCAGCACTGGCAGCACTGGCGGCAAGGCTGAGAGCCAGCACTGGCATAACTCTGGGATGATAACGCCGTCCGGCGCTGCCGAAGTACTGTCTGTCAGTGCTGCCAGACAGCGCTGGCGCAGCACTGGACCAGTGCTGGCTGAGAATATTGCCGCAATAAATGCCGTATTGTTATTAATTAGTCGTAAATTAATAATTATAAATAATTTAACAACAAAATGGTAAATAATATTAATAAATAGTTATTATTCATAAAATATTTCTCTTCTTAAAGAAATTGTATTAAAGACGGAGACTAACAATATGGATATAGTAAATGAAGTAGAAAAAAATTGTTTATAACATTTAAAAATTAAATAATAAACAATTACAGTAAGTGTGCATTAGATTTTCATATTTTAGTACCTAACGATTGGAATCTAGAAATATCGCAAACCTATGAAAATAAACAAAATTGCTGACTAGGGGAATCGAACCTACGACCTACGGACTAACAGACTAACGCTCTTACCACTATGCTAACGACACATGTGTACAGAAAAGTATTAATATCTCGGTATCATTCAGACATACAATTATTGAGTCAAAGATGAGAAAAAAATAGGGATACGTTAGAAATAATAAATTGAAATAAAATAAATTAAACTAAATTTTTAAAAATTAAATTACTTTACTTATTGCATTTAACATTTTACGTAATTCTTAAATTACGTGGTAATTTTTTAATAATTTTTTATTCATAGTAAGAAGTATAATAGTATTTTAATAGGAACCAAATTATTATTGAGATTAAAGTTTAAATTTTGTTTATACCCAGGTGCGAAAAGTTGGTCGGGCCATGGTCGCGCCGACCAAGTGGATAGTCGTGCCGACCTTGGCAGCCAAAGGTCGGCCGAACTAGTGAATTGTAACACCCGCCGTCCAGTGGCTAACATGGTCGGGCCGACCAGGGGTGCCAAAGTTTTCCCGACCATGAGAAAGAAGGTCGGCTTCATTTTGGCAACCATGGTCGTGCCGACCTTGGCAGCCAAAGGTCGGCCGAACTAGCGAATTGTAACACCCGCCGTCCAGTGGCTGACATGGTCGGGCCGACTATGGTTGCCAAAGTCGGGCCGACCAGGGGTGCCAAAGTTTTCCCGACCATGAGAAAGAAGGTCGGCTTCATTTTGGCAACCATGGTCGTGCCGACCTTGGCAGCCAATAGTCGGCCGACCGTTTGCAAAAAATTATTAACTTTACAATTAACAGATATTAAGTGATATCTTAATATTCATTATTTATTTATTTATTTATCGCATTCATCTTAACACTAGACGCAATCTTATACATAAATACAAATTAAAATTTCTAACGCTCGCAGGGATCGAACTCGCAACCTAACGCACCGAAGTCTAACACGCTAACCATTACGCTACGCTTACATGAAAGCCTAAGAACAAAAATGAATTTATAAGCTGCAATTTAAAAAAAGAAATTTGTAATTCATAACGATTAATAAATCAGATAACGTTTATTAGTTTTTGTTTAATCCATTTTAGCTAAAATAATTAACACAAAAACTTTTAATTTCTACCATGGCAGTATAGAAATGTTTTTTAAGATGGTCGGGCCAACCGTGGCCAGAGTCGGCCCGACCAACAGAAATTAGGTTTTTTACACTCTGGCTGCCATAGTTTTACCGACCATCGGCCCGACTGAGGCCAGAGTCGGCCCGACCAACAGAAATTAGGTTTTTTAAACTCTG